TGGGTCCCTTCACTATTGAAGACAGGCGCAGGCTGTTGGGGATGAGTCTGTGTTGTCTGCATCCCAAACTGAAGCACAAATGGTCTCTATGGTCCACAATGTTTTCTGGAAATCCGTTCATCCTCCCGCACCCTTCGCAGGGGGTACATCCCAATGTGTATGGCTCAATGTCTATGGAGAGTCTCAGTCATCCAGGTCACAGTTGTCCCAAAGGTGCTTTTTTTTTCAAGAGGCAACTGGCCTTTCTTGTTTTTCTTTGAAGACGTTTCACTTCTCATCCAATCTTTCCATTCCCCGCCATCCAGTCAGAGCTGAGGAAGCTTCTGGGATGAGAAGCGAAACTTCTTCAAAGAAAAACAAGAAAGTCCAGTTGCCTTTGGGACAACAAGAGTGCAAGATAGTTGGGCAGGTGGAAGGGGCTAGGTTAAGTTAAGCGGCTCAAGATGTCTTCAAGAAGAAACATAAGAGCCCACGGTTAGAAGCGTCAATGAATCCCCTAGAGAAGATAGTCAAGAACTATTTTCAATAGACAGAAATGAGAACCGGGAATGATGCGTACAAGTAAGCAACCAGCTGAATTTCTTTAAACATAAGGAAAAATTCCTGATGATAAGGTGTATGGAACAGTTCACTTATTGAGGTTATGGGATGGCCATCTCTGGAGATCTTAAAGGGGCTGGAGAGTCACTTCTCATGAATGCTTGGATTGATTTTTCTGGACTAGATGATCTTTGGGATCCTTCCAATTTCAGCGTTGTAGGATTCAGTGAACGGCTCCTCCTGACTAGCTCTTTCCTCTATTAAATCATAGAACCCTAGGCTGCCTTTGATGTAAGTATTTCTCTGCAATAAATATTGATCTTACCAATGACTGAGAAGACCAGCTGGTTACTGTTGGAGAAAAAGGGCTTCCTCCTAATGTTTTCCAGAACTTGTAGGAACATGCTCTCTTTATTTGGTCTGAATATAGTTTTGCAGTGCTGAGAATAAAGGTATTTTTATAGAGATGTTCATGTTTGATTGGTGTGTCTGACTGATCCACGCTGTAGAAAAAGAACCATTCTGCATGAGATCCCTCAGGGAGGGAGCACTTCAAAGAAACCTCTTCTCCTCTAATAATGACGGTGTGTGGAAGAGATGAGGACAGCCTGAGGGCTGATAGAGATGAATCTGCCCAGGAACCTGAGGAAAGAGAGAGAAGCCATTGAGTCTTTCCTGCTGATCTCCTTTGGAAACCAAACCTCTACCCTAGAACATCCAAGCGGATTCCCACAGTGGCTTCCATCTATAAACTGCTTTGTGGATCCTTGACCCACTGCTTCTCTCTTCTCCCGGTGAGAACAATTGGGGCTCCGCTCGCCTTTTCACTCTAAGAGTTGGAGGTCTTCCTGACGGAGCCACTGAGGACAGCCTCCCACTTTTGAACCACTTTTGAAAGCTTGGGAATCACTTGAGGGTTGGGTAGTTGACGTCCCAGGCGGTGGACGGTTTTCTTGCATTGCAAAATCAAATCCGATTAAATTTCTCTTACCAGCTCCCAGGAGGATCCTTGAGAGGGCTGAAAGAGAGAAGGAGGGAAGGTGGAGTTAAGAGAAGAACAGATGGTCTAAGGCTGTGGAAGACTTTCATCCCCACCACTCTCAAGTGAATCATCTTCCCTGAATGGATTCAGCAGTTAGATGCTGCCGTAAAGGAGGATGAGGAGGAGGAAGGGGTCTTCTCCCACCCATATTCTATCCTTCGGGGGTCATAAGAGTTCCTCAACCCTCCTTATCATGGCTGGAATTAGCACGAAGGACAGAAATGGGGACTTTCACAGGCCCAGGAGGGTTTTCTCTCTGAAGTTCAGCTGTTCTGATGTCTTCAGTTCTCAGTTGTTTGAGAGGAGGAGGAGGAAGGAGAAAAAGGGAACACCCCTTATCCTCAATGCCTTCATTGCGACCCACGGGACAACCCCTTTCTTTGCTCATCTATCACCCCAACTTCCTATATCTTTCAATGGCCGTGAAGCTGCAGTTTCTGGGTATTTCTGATGGGAGGGAGAGAGACTGCCCTGCATCCCCACATATGCCCTTTAGTTGAGATGGCCATAAATCAAGAGAACTAGAGACACGATTGGGGGGAGGCAGGTAAGTGCCACTGTTGTTCAAATTATGCCAAGCTGAGAAACAAGAAAGTCCTTGCTTTTTGGAAAAGATCTAAAATAAGAAAAGAATGTGGCACTAAAGCAATCCTCTCTTCAGTGAGGAGAAGAGTCGGATTGAGATGGGAAGTAGTAGAAGAAGAAGAAGTTGGTCCCGAATCTATCATCCAAGGGATGGTCTCCATCTTCTCTTCAGGATTCCTGGGAAGCTGGTCTTGGCCTCCGTTGCTCTCATCTTCTTTCCCCAGAGAGATGAAGAGCTGCAACTTCTCTTGAGTCAGTCTTTCAACTCAACAGTGAAGGGAGGAACTACGTCATCTGCCCAGTCCAGGACGCAACTCAGCTCTCAGGCCTTCTCCACCACACCAAAGCCCTTTTCTGTGCAGCAGCTTGCTGTCCCCATCCTCCTTGGGCTCTCTTACACCCAAAGAGAATGAAAACTAAAAATAGAGAGAATGAATACTAAAAATAGCTATCCGGTGAGGTGAGAGGTGTAAAAGGCAAGAAGCCAAGTCAGTTTGCTTTTCTCATGACCTAAATGCCAACCCTTTGTATCTGACCTAATTCCTTCCCCTTCTTGTCCTAAGCCATGCATTTCCAAAGTGGAGCCCAAAACACGTGCAATAAAAAGAATAACAAAGCATTAATAAACAAACATTTAAAGTGGCAATATCATCGAACAGCAGTAGGTTCCACTAAAACAGCTCTTAAAGGCATTGGCTGTGTCTGAAACATCAGAGTTTTGCCCTTCAAATTTATCAGTCCCCTCTTAATAGCATCTCGGATTGGCCTTATGGTCTTCTGCTTCCAGCTATTGGTCTTTGATGAAGGTCCATCCAAGATTTCATCACTTCCTGGTCTTTGGGGACTATTCCCCTCCTCAAATGAAGATCTCTTCAAATCAACCTCAAGAACCTAGACATCCAGAAGGAGAGGCCATTCATGTTGGAAAGCCAGATGTTTGAAGGGTATTTCGGAAGAAAAGGGAGGCGGAGATAACATGTTGAATTTTGGTTGAAGGAAACCATGAAGCTAATGGTGATTTCAAGAAGTCCCCAAATGAAGCTCCCCAAAAGTGAAAGAGGAGAAGATGGACACAATTGCGAATTTTTTGGCCTTAATGGTCATAACAAACGAAGAGACCCCAAGATTGGAAGAAGGAAGAGAAAAAGATTGGCTTTGAGGACAGATGACACAAAAATGGGGGTGGGGGAGAGGGAATCCCTATGATTGTTGATGTTCCGTCATGAAATTGGTCTTCCCCCCTCAACATTCCTGAATATCTCTCCTTTGTTCCTTTTCCCAGCATTAAAAATAAATTGAAGGGGAGAAGAGCCCTCTATAAACCATACAAATATTTTTTTCTAAAGTGTGATAATCAGCTCCTAGAGGCTCCCAAATATCTCTGAGGGGATGACCTGGTTGACTTTTTGCTTCGACCGTGCGGACCCTCTATAAATGCTCAGAATAGTAAATATGTGCCTCAATGCATTAAAATACCCTTCTTGGGTGGACTTTCCAAAGGTCACTTCTGGAACTTAATTGTAGCTTCTTCCATTCCAGCTGGACAAAGTTTCCGTTTTAATCTTTGGTGTGAAAAATCCTCTCCACTTTTGGGAAAAGCCAGTTTGACTTTGGCTGGTCTCAGAAAGAAAAGCTTGAGCAGCTCTGGATACTTTTCAAAGTATCTTCTTCTTCCTCCTGGTTTCTTCAAGAAATCCAGAACTGAGACACTGGAAAACCATCTTGGATGAAGACAAGGGCCAATGACATTCATGCTATTGTCAAATAAACTATAGAGTCAAACTGGTCACCAAGAGTTGAGATCCTCTCAAAGGAGATCTTGCCCATTAAAAGACACAGAGGCTTTTACATTCCAAATAAGTTTGGAATGAGAAGCTGGAGGCTCACCATTAATCAATCAAAGAGTATCTTGCTTTCTTCCTAGGAAGGATCCAAAACAACCTGTTAGGCCAGCCCATCAGCTGGCCAATAGCCAAGTCTGCCTTTTATGAGAGGTGGATTTGATTGACTGATTTATCTCCTAGCTGAGTATCATTCATCTGGTGCTGTTTTTTATCATCCAGTTGGAATTGCCAATAAGGATTCAAAAGAAAGCAAGGGGGGGGGAAGTAATTTTGTCAACTTTCACTAGTGTCTGAATGCTCTGTTGCAGGACTTTTAAGCTGCTTAGACTTGTCTGACTGAGACAGCAGAGAAGTAGCAGAAAGAAAATTAAATAAATAGGGTTCTGACTTGGGGGGGGGGGCTCTTTCTTTGCCTGAATTCATCATCTCCTTGCTCGTTTTGGGTGAGAAGGACATTTGGAAGCGATGATGGGCCTTGCCAACCAGTCAACTGTTTCTGATGACCTTCTATAGTAGTTTAATAGTGGTTGAGTTTCTGAGCAGCACTGTGGATCCTGGTAGCTGACGACGTAGCAGAGATGCTACATGATGGATTGGTGGAAGTGGGAATGAAGGAGCCTCTAGATCGCAGGAAAGGAGGGGATTTCAGAGCTGGTGGAGAATCTCTGGAGAGTAAAAGCATCGTGTAAAAGAAATTTAGCCTTTTGCTCTGAGTTTTGTCAGTTTCAGACCAATTCTATTATTTGCACCCTCTTCTTAAGCTCCATAGTTGCACAGAGGACTTGGCAATGGGACGTCTGGGACCAGGGGTAGTGAGATACTCTTGTGAGATTGCGGAAAAGGTTTGCTGTGGTCAAGAAGGCCCCAAAGCTGAGCAGTGAGCTGGGTTGTCCTCGCTGGGGAAAGGGAAGAGGAGGGTGGTTCAGAGGTGTTGATGACGTGCTTCCTTTGCTGCTGATTGCTGTGAAGAGAAATGTTTGCAGGCCAGGTTGTCATCCTCGGCTCAGAAGGCAGAGCTGTGGTGGTGCTGAGAAGATCCCAGTTCCCCAAATGGAGCATCTCCTGGAGCAGAGAGACTACCACTTGGATGATGAGTTGAAGGTTTCTCACTTCTCTTGGCCCTCTGCATCTTCTCTGGTTCCTGCCATAAATTTTCTGCCTCACTTCTTATTTCTTCCAGTTTTCCTCCAGATCCTTCTGTGTGAATCCACTGCCCAAGGTACATCTAATTTCTTCACTTCTACATTTTCCGTTTTCTGAGATGAAATGGGGGAAAGGAGATGTAACTGTTCTCCCAAGAGGGAGAGGGGAATAAATCCTCACCATTATGCTTGAGAATATGTGGTTAATATCAGAAGAAGAGCTATCAAACTGGTAGAAACTGAAAAATTCCCCAATTGTCCTTTTTCTTATTTCTGAGAAGTGATTTTTTAAAATCTTCTTTCTGAAAAAGAAAAATTCTCTCCAGGAATCATTTTAAGTGGCAAAGAAGTGAAAAGCCTTGCATAGAAATACAACCTCTTGTTCTTGATGAACAGGATGAATAATGACATTTAACTTCTTAGAAATGTTTGTGTTTCTCACTTCCTTTCCTTAAAATTTAGAGGGCATTTGCTTCCTCCCTTGTTGCAAATCTAATGATTTAGATCTTGTCTGTTTCAGTTGCCTCAAGTGGAATGTAGTTCTTTTTATATCAAATAAAATAGATCCATGTGGATTGATTATGTTTCCCCCTTACGAAGAACAAAGGTTCAGATCAGGCTTTGGATGCGTGACTTCAAGAGGTATTTTGGACCCTCTGCATGGAGGCCATGTTGAATAGAATAGAATAGAGCTGGAAGGGACCTTGGAGGTCTTCTAATCTAACGTAAAACCTTACTTTTCTCACCACTGGACTGCACTTTCTTGGACAGGGCCCAATGCTCAAGTCAGTCAACATAATAAAAATGAACTGGACCTTCACCTGGAGATCCTTGACTATAGATTCAGAAAACTGCCACGTTCTCTTTCTTTGGTCCAGTAACGGGCCCACTTTGCAAATTCTTTAGCACAGCCACAAAGTCACAATAGCCCGCTTATACTAGCATTTCCTGTGATCTGAAGCATTTGTGGTCAACCTCTATTTTGTTTGCTTCATGTGACATGAGTCAAAGGAGGCCTTAGCTAACTGCTGATCTTCACAATGGCATCGACAAAACAATTCAGATTGGCCATCTCTGGCTGAGGCTAATTCATGGCTCACTTTAAGAAATTAATAGGCCAGGCCCTCGGAGATGCAAATCTCCAGAAACAAAAAAGGATCTCTCTTACGCTGAATTTGATGCAGAGAATTTGATGCAGAGGTTTCATATTTGTCACCAATATGATCAATGTCTACATCAGGCCCTCCAGATGTTATGGAAGCCCAGCTGTCATGGGCCCTGTCCAATATGGCCAATGCTAGGGGATGATGGGAATTGCAATCCATTATGCAGAAAGCCACATTTTGTTCACCCTTAGTTCTCAACGCCTAGGTTTCTATTAAGGAATTGTTAATTGACAATTGATACAATTGTTGAGCCTAATCTCCAGTCATCGGATGTACAGGTAATCCTCAATTTACAATCATAATAGGGCCTGTGTCGGAACTATGAATCTGGGTTGTAAGTCACTTTTTTGAGGTTGATCCTAACTTCAAACACTTACTAAGCAACCGGTCGTAAATCAAGGACTACTTGTAAAGACCTTTATTTGGGAAGAGGTAATTTGGTTGTATCTGTCTACTTCTACCCTGTGGGATTCTCTTGAGTTCTTGCAACACAATTCTGCTTAATAGCTTGCAGGATTTTTATGGGATTCTTCCCAAATTTCCTTTGTTTCTCAGATATTCAGAGGACTACTTGGAATCTCCCAGCAGCTCCCACCTTGTCCTGGTCACCTTCTTACCAAACTCTCCTCAAAGGAGAAGAGATAGAGTTAAAATGTTCCCCCCCAGGAGGACAGAAGGGAGAACATTACTTTTTCTATCGCAACAGTGAAAAGGGTGAAGAGACAAGATATCAAGAACAGATCGGAAATACTCTGCTGATTCAGGCAAAACGAATGGCCCCAAAGGCAAAATTTGCTTGTTCTTACACGGTAAAAAACAGAGAAGGAAGAAGATCTCGGTCGCGAAAGAGTAATCGGGCTGAATTCACTATCATCGGTAAGGAACAAATCTTCATATTTGTCAAGGTTGAGAAATGCTGTTCACATCGTTAAAAAGATGCCTAAGAGATTCCTATGAGAAAAATAGTAATTTCAAGAATCTGTGTTCTTTAATTCATTACATAAAAATTATTTATTTTATTGTTCATGAAAAAAAAAGAAATAGAGAAAGATGTTCAAACAGATCAATTTGTTTTACGCCGGAAAGCTGAAGGAAATGTGATATTGCACACGTTCACCGCTTTGGAGCAGCAAGATTTTGGTGGTCCCTCGCTGAGATTCTGTCTCCTTAGAATATCCCTGGAGAGTGAAGGAATATTAGTGGGCTATTTCAGGGATATTTCTGTCCCATTATTCAGGCTGTGAAGCTGCCGAATCTAGATTTCTTCAACCTCCCAATTCCAAAGAGTATTTTCTGAGAAAAGAGAAGAGGTCATCAGTTCCATTCTGAATGAAGGAAAGTCCAACCAAGAACTTTAGTGCAGTTAGATGTGTTGATGGGTGCCATTCAAGATAATCTGGGGATTGCCTGAAGGACATTTGATACTCACTTCTTTTTCCTCTCTGGATCTATCTAGATCCTCCACCAGCTCCAAGCCTTTCTGCAGATCCTTCAGAACCTCTGTATCTGGTTGGGGAGAACATTTCTCTCAGGTGCTCAATTCCCGACAACACTGTTCAAAGTTGGAGACCGTACCTGTTTTCCCAAATAAGGAAAAATGAGAATGAGACCTCTATAAAGGATCTGGATTGGCATGAAGACAACTCCCTGGTCCTCACAGCCACAAGGGAAGATTCTGGATTACATAAGTGCCGGTACCGAGAATGGAAATATGGGAGAACCATCTCGTCAGACTGGAGTCATCCTGTCTCAATCGTGGTGAGAGGTGCAGATTTTTTCTTTCTTCATTTTGAAAATGTGGATCCCTATAACTGGGGCTTTATTTATTTAGAGCTTGTATATGAAAGCATTTCCCTGATGAAGTCCCAGAAAGTCTCCACCCTGGAGACAGTGGAGTCCAAGCGCCACCAAGCTAATTCCCGTTTTTCTCTTCTCCAGATCCTCTGCTTCCCCCAGTGTTGAAGCTGCATCCTCCCTCTGGATCCCTGCAAGAAGGCAAAGTCCTGCAAATCCAGTGTTTGCCCAATGAGGGCAATAACACCAAAAGGTTCCATTTCTCATGGAAGGGTGTGGAAATGGCCTCCAGCAATGAAGGTCTTCGGAGGAGCAGCAGAGACCCTGGGCTTCTTACTCTAAATACGTCAGCAGCCTTCCTATATGCCAAAGGTAATGGAAGCCTGGGACTTGCTTGCAGAAGTGAGGAAAACATAAATGGGCGCTGGATCATGTCTCCTTGGAGCCAGATAGTGAATATCACAGGTTGGTCTTTTCAGAAGGTGGAGTCATCTGCTGCCTATATGCGGAAGGAACCCTTTGCAAAAATTGATTTAACCATCCAAGGAAATCTTTTCCTTTGCAGTTCTGGCAGCCCCATCTGCCCCGTCAGTGGGCTATGCAGCGTTGGCTCTCCTTGTCCTCCTCCTGGGAGCCCCACTGGTTTTCTGCTGCAGTAGGAAGAAGAACGGTAGGTGGGTGAGTCCCAAATTCAAAAGTAGCAGGAACTACCCTGAATCTCAGTCAAGTGGCTAGAGAGGAACCAATGTTGCAGAAGTGGTGGAAGCCATTTGGAAGAATAAACCTCCAAGAGGTCCTTCTTCAACAGAATGGAGACTCCTCTGATAGGCATAGTGGTCCTTCTTGTTGCCTGTCCCACAATTTAATAGACATCTGGCCTTGGGAATCTCAGCCTTGGGATTAGGAGGGTCTTGACTGTTGACATAACGAACATCCCCCTGAGCTACGAAACTCCAGTTCCCACTGTATCTACCCTCAGTAGTAATTGGGTTGGGGTATTCCCTCTACTGGGAGAAGGTGGCTGAATTGAGAAGAGCTTATTTGGCTTTAAAGGAGAGTCTCCTCCCAGCCAGAATATTAGCAGACAGCAGATCTTAGACGGTAAGTATGTTCACCCTGAGTAATAGCTGGATGGGAATATCCAAGAAGGTTCTTAGTTGTAGAGTGGGCAGTTTTCAAGAAATAGAATGGACACTGCAGCCCAGTGAAGCTGAGCTTGAGGGTGTATCTATCTTTACTTTGTTTCTAAGATGATGGAATAACTAGGATGAGCAAGTCATGTTTGTTTATTCCTGGCTTCCTTTTTTTTGCATGGATCTGGAAGCATCAGGATGCCAGCGGAGATCTGAGCCTAAAGAGAAGAAGGAGGAAGTCCAATTAAATGATCTTGGATCTGAGGATCTGGACGGGGAGGATTTACAGGTAACCACTTCAAGGATTCTTCCATTCCTGGGCAGGACTGTTTATGAAGGAATTGGGAATCCTGGGCAGTTTCAGAGGTATTGTGTATCATCCCAAGTTTCCTGATAGTGAAATTCTGATGGAATTATAGAAAAACTTACTAGAGGATTTTGAGAGAAGAACCACTTCTGGAGAGAGGGAAGGATTTCCATTCACTAGATCAGTGGTTCTCAACCTGTGGGTCAGGACCCCATTTGGGGTCGAACGACCATTTCACGGGGGTCGCCAAACAAGGCTGTCCGCCATTTTTTCCCCCTTTTCTTTGGACACGGCCCTGGCAACCGATGATGTATAAGTGATTGGGGGTCACCACAACATGGGGAACTGTATTATGGGGTCGCGGCATTAGAAAGGTTGAGAACCACTGCACTAGATTATAAAAGCAGAAGCCAAAGAACAATTTTTGAAGGATACCTTCATTTACTTCCTGCCTTGAGTGGCATGGCCTAACGTCCATTTTGTCTCGAATAGTCTTGTATTCTACTACTATTTGGTTTTATTGTGAACGAACTGTTGGTTTTCCAACTAGAAAGATTTGGGAGTTATAGTTCAATGCAATATGAAGTTTTGTCTTTGAGAGCATCTTAGATATTAGGGATTCCTCCTGCCTGGTCATAAGTAAATCAAAGTGGATGGTCATCCTGGTAGAACGATTTGGGAGTCATCCTGGTAGAAGTCTCTCCCAGGGCAGCTCTCTGGGTGACAGGAGGTAGAGGATCTGGGTTGGGCCTGGTGTGGTGTGGTTGCCATTTACACTTGATTTGTGTTGCTGAGGATTCTGGAAGAGTCAACTAGTTTCCCTTTGTAAACACCTTCCAAAATAAACTTTAAAAAGTCTCCTTTATGATGGATCCTAGTTGAATTTCAAGCTTGTCTTTTCCTGGCTTTCTAGAATTCAGAATTCACCTGTGCTTTTGTCAAGACGTCATCCACAGTGATCCCTTTTGAACCCAGGACCAAAAATCATCTGAGGACCCAGGAAGTGGATCAAGTCATATACAACAATGTCCGGGTTCAAGCAACCAGCAGAACAGCCCACTGACTACTTCTCCAAAGGCCACTTTCAGAAGACCAGCCTTTTCACCACCAGGAATGGAGGACTTGCTCTGGTTCTGTTGGGGTATTTGGGAATAGACATGCTTGAACCCAGGGTTTCTCAACCTTGGCAACTGGAAGATGGATGGACTCCAACTCCCAGAATTCATGGCTGTCTGGTGAATCCTGGGAGTTGAAGTCCACCCATGTTCAAGCTGTCAAGATTGAGAAACTTGGGGCATACCTTCAGGAGTACAGCCTTGACCTTTTACCCTTCCTGACTAGTAGAAATATTGGCCAATGTCCAATTACCCACCAGGAATACCTGTCCTCCCTTCCCCTTTTTGTGCTAAAAAATTCCTCCTGTCCTTGTTGAAGGAGAAACCAGTGAAGGAGATATAAATCCTGTGAAATAAATAAAAAATGCTGTTGTTGTTGTTCAGTCACCAAATTGTGTCTAACTCTTCGCAACCTCATGGACCGTAGCATGCCAGGCCCACCCAAATTTTGCTCCAATTCATATTTATTCTGCCGATGACACCATCTAATAACCTCATCCGCTGCTGTCCCCTTCTCCTTTTGTCTTCCATCATTCCCAATATCGGAGTCTTTCCCAATGAATCTTTTCTTTTGGTTAGGTGGCCAAACTATTTGAGCTTCAAAAAATATTATAAGAGTTTTTTTTAAAAAATATAAGGGATTCTGCAATTGCTGTTGTGGCTTTCCATGGCACGGTTGCTGTTCTGCCCCAAAACTCGGTCCTGTGGGGCTGGAAGATGGGTCTCCACAGGCATCCTCTCCAGTCACGCAGGTCTCCCATTCACAATGTTGGCAATGTTTTCACTGATCCAAACAGGGAATTTGTATCCCTGATTTATCAGTGGCATTTTCATCTTCCAAATTACACAAACTTTATGGTTGCTGCTGGTGATTTTCTTCTCTCTGAGCTGTCGAGGCCCTTCTAGGCTCCTGATTGGCTGGTGGCTGGGGCCTCGCCCCTTCGAGGGCCATGCACTATTGTAATACTAACAATATGGTTTCTGTACTGGTTAACTCATATGGGTTTTCTTGTATTTGAATTAGCCTTCTTTCTCTGTTCCTTTCAAATGTATTGCTAATTATGGTGGTGGCTGGAACCTCATCCCTTTGAGGGCCACACAGTATGGACTATGTAACACCTGAAATATGGCCTTTGTAATACCACTGCACTGGTTAACTCACATGGGTTTTCTTGTATTTGAATTAGTCTTCTTTCTCTACTCCTTTCAAATGTATTGCTAATTATGGTGGTGGCTGGAACCTCATCCACTTTGAGGGCCACACAGTATGGACTTTGTAATACCTGCAATATGGTTTTTGTAGTACCATTCCACTGGTTAACTTACATAGGTTCTCTTGTATTTTAACCAGTCTTCTTTCTTTCTCTCTTTCTTTCAAACATATTGCCAATTATTTGCCATCATCTGGCTATTTTAATTGGGGTCCAGCAAATGGAGGCAAGAGCTCCAGCCAACTTTGGGTATCACCTCAAGCTCTGAACAGGAGGAAGAGGAGGAGGAGGAGGAGGAGGAGCCAAGCGTGGGATTCTGGGAGATGTAGGCTCCACCCGGGAAGAGGGCCTTAGAGTGCAGGGCAGCAGAACTACAGGGCCCAGCATTCCAAGGGAAAAAAAGGCGGGAAAAATGGACTGAGGGGAGAAAAAACTCTTGGCCTCTGAGGGGAGATGGAGAGAGAGAGAGAAAGAGAGAGAGAGAATATCTTGTTCTGAGGGAAAAAGTGGTTCTGGCTTTCTGGAAGATTATCCGAATCAAAGCCTCACAAATGCCCTGAGGGGTGTCAGGGGGTTTGGGCCCGGCAGGCCGGTCATCAGAGGAGAGGGACAGAAGGAGCCGGTCATCGGCCAGTGTCTCCTTCGAGGGTGAGCGCTACATATGCAGCAGAGGAGAGCTGGGATATTATGGGATGAGAAACTCCTGGAGCTGTTTCTGTGGGAAGCTTAAAGGGGCCAAGGTTGAGAAACGCTGCTTTAAACAATCCCAGCTCTCTCACTGTATGTGTGTGTTTTGTGTATATGGTAGTCTGCATGGATTCCTCCCATTGCCTACCTCTGTTGAATTGTGACATTGCCTCATTTCAGCATCTGTCTGTCTTATCTATCTATCTATCTATCTATCTATCTATCTATCTATCTATCTATCTATCTATCTATCTATCTATCTTTCTTTCTTTCTTTCTTTCTCTCTCTATCTAACATCTATCTATCTAACATCTATCTATCTATCTATCTATCTATCTATCTATCTATCTATCTATCTATCATTTCCATGCACCATTCAACCCATCAAAAAATTGAACTAGAAAAAAAGGCAAGATGGACCTAAGAAAAAGATCTCATTTCAGCATCTGTCTATCTATCTATCTATCTATCTATCTATCTATCTATCTATCTATCTATCTATCTATCTATCTATCTACTCTCTCTTTCTATATCTATCTATCTACCTACCTACCTACCTATTCATTCATTCAATTTCTATGCCACATATCTGCCTTTCAAGATGACTCTGGATGGCTTGAAAGCACTTGGAAGTGCTCCAAACAATTTGGAAGACACTTGCCATCTCTTCCTGCCTCATCCTCTTCTCCAAAGCTAAATTTCTGTTGCTGAAGACGGAGATTTTTTTGCCAAATTCTTTTGTTGAATGAATCACACGTTAAAGTAACAGGTCGCAAATTCTGACTTTCTTTACAAGTCTAGCCCATTGATTTGTTAAAATTGGGAATTCCAACTCTTTGTTGGTAGTTTCTTCCTATTCAATATATGCATTAGTGCACGCACATACACACACACACACACACACAAATACAAGTACACAAACACATGTATGCATCAAGTAACAACATGATGAACATTTTATTATCAAGTAATTTAGCTTGAGACCAAAACTTTAATTATAAAACAAATACTTTGAGGCATACTCTTCTTTCATTTTTCAATTTATTTCCAGTATTATATTTAAGTTTGAAGAAAAAATCAAACAGTCATAATATTTGTAACACCAATATTCAAAGCTGTAATTAATACTGATAAAATATCTACAGTACCTACCTACCTATTTATCACCTCCATGCACCATTCAACCCATCAAAAAAACGGAAAGAGAAAAAAAAGTAAGGTGGACCTAAGAAAAAGGAAAACCTGTATCTCTGGGAAAATGAGAAAGGGGTTATTAGCCAAGAGACTCAGCTAGTATTCAAAGCAAAATATCCCAAAGGACATTTCCCACGGCTTCAAACAAACATGGACAGGAACAGATCAACAAGGAAAAAGCCTTGGATCTTCTCTCTCACCTGAGAGTCAGAAGTGAAACTCCAAAGGATGAAGGCGAGTTCCTATGAGCTGGCAGATTCAAGAGAAATTTCAGTGTGGAAAAGGGCCTCTAAACTAGATCTCATGGCAGTTGTTTGTATTAGATCTATCCAGTATACAGAAAAAAGTTGTTGAAAGCTGTAACAAAAATCTTCCCAGCAGGCTCAAGTCTAGATAGATCTGAGACTTGTAGGAGAGGGTGGGGCCAAAGATTTCCCCCTTTTTGATGGACTTTCTCTTCTGCCATAAACTGAAGTACCTCATCATTTCTTCACAGGTCATGTGCATGTCTAAGCCTAGTAAGAGACTGCACCAAGAGAGTTGTTTTGTTTTCCTCCAATCAAGTTTATATACAGTGGCCCCTCTTCTTCCTCTTCTCTAAGATGGTTCTTCTGAGTGGAGAAGTCCTGAACATTGCTGTAGGTGGCCTCAGAGTCCGGGGGAAACTAAGGGAAAGAGAGCACATTGTTCAAACATTCAGTTTGCCTGCAGCTCAAAAACCAATGAAGAACAAGGGATTTCTCCATCATTTTGCAGCATTTTTAGAAATAAATAAGGTTGACTGGTCTTCTAGAAAGATTGCCAAGCCCATCAAAGAAAAGAAGGATTGACTTTTGGCATCAGACCTGACCTGGTCTGGTTTTCTGATTCTGATGGTGATGAGAGACTCCTGAGAAATCCGCAAGGACATTCCTCTAAAACCTTGCCTGCAACACTTGATTAGAGGAATCTTTGATGGCTTCTAAGATACTTAGTTTTCTTAAATATATCTTTCTCTTCACATTTTTCTGCGAATTTCAAGGCCATTTAATTTTACGGCCAACACATAATTTGTTAAACTGAAAGCCATAAGGAGAATTATTATTTCCTATTTTTAAAGGAATATCCAGGGGTACTAAAATGCCTAAATTCTTTGGTTGAAACCAAGTAAATGAAGAATCGGAGAATAGGTGTTGACCAGAGATCAAAACAAATGGGATTATGAGAGGTAAATCCTGCTTGAATTTAAGATTTAAGTTCACTATCTACCAAGATTGCACCAATATGCTTCAGGCCTCTAAAGCCCATCTATATCATTCTTGTTTGTAGACAACCATAGTTGGGTGATTCCAGAGGACACTGTAAGTTATTGGTGAGGATTCCATAAACCTAGTATCACTCTCCAGTGTGATAGACCTTCCCTGTAGACCAGGGGTCTTCAAACTTGGCCCTTTTATGACTTCTGGACTTCAACTTCCAGAATTCCTTAGCCAGGCATGCTGGCTGAGGAATTCTGGGAGTTGAAGTCCACAAGTCATAAAAAGGGCCAAGTTTGAAGACCCCTGCTGTAGACACTAATTAAAGTCACCCATGAATTCCACCAGCTACCTTGACTGATGAGGGTGTTGCTGCTTGAGGCTCCATCACTGAAAGATGATTTTTCTCTTTCTTTTCCATTAGTTGAAATTGTTCCTGTGATTGAGATGCTTCCATGGCAGCAATAAAAAGGAAAAAAAACCATGAAGCTACTTTCCACCATCCTTACATATCATCTTCCCATCCCTCTCATTTCCAGTTCTGCTTTTCCTTTCCTGCTTCCCCGGTGGATCTCTCAATCAACATATCCAATTACAAGAGCAACCTCTGATAAGGGAACCCTCGAACCCAAATCCTTCACTTACTGCTCTTTTGCTTCCAGCAATAAAAGGCAATTGGAACCAGCAGAATTAGAAAAAGAATCCATCTCCGGGCAAATCTCCAAACAGAATATAAACCTTGGGTCCAAACTGGTATGACTAGAAAAGAAGGAGGATGATTTTATGTTACTTGGCAGAATATTTTTACCCTGTCCTGTTCTTGAAAGTTTAGATCCTATATCATCTAAAATTGAAATCGTCACCTCTTATATTAGTCTCAATTCTAAACTTTTCACGGTCTTCTTCGTGGAATTAGCTTAGCAATCTCACAGAAGCCAATTGCCTTTCTTTAGATCTTTCTTCGGCCATCCTAGTCTAGCCTATCGTGGTGGTCTCAAGATTTAACCACATCCAACATTCCCCTAACTGGCTCACCTGTCATGTTTATCCCCTGGCTCCAAGAAGACATGAACCATCGGTTGCTTCTCCTTTCTTCATAACTGCAAGCAAATTCCCCTCTATGGTTGAACGAGGCATGTAGGATTCTCAAAGAGGCACTTTGAACACGATCTGTGGGTTCACTGGAGGGTTCCAGAAGACCTTTTTCCCTGGAGGTGATCTCCATCCCATCCTTGTAGAAATAGAAGATCTTCTCTGCGTTGCCTCCTTCCACTGAGCAGAGGAAGACCAAAGGGTCACCTTCCTTCACCTTCTGGGACAACGGATCCACCTTCAGCAGTGGGGAAGGAAGTTCATCTGCAAGAAAAGTTCAAAAAGAACATATTAATGTCTCCATTAAAGCAGGGGAAATCTTGGAAATCATCCATAGTATCCCCTTGAATCTAACGTACCATTTCTATGAGACAAAGCAATGATATTTCAGAGAATGGAGATTAAGATGGGAAATAAGGAAGGAGAATGCTGTAGTTTGGGGTGAAAATAATACATAAACTGCCCCTTTTCATACAAGAGAGACTAGATCAAGCAATCATTATGGTGGCCCTGCTTGTCTGGTTCACTGGATTAATTTTTGAAAGTTTTATTGTGCATTTGCATAGGTTGAGTATTAGAACTGCCTTTGATGTGAATATTTCTGGGCAATGAGGATCCATCTTACCAACAACTGAGAAGACCAGATGGTTACTTTCAGGGTAATCAGACCATCCCCCAGATGATTCCCTGATCTTGCATTTACATATAATCTTTATTTGGTTAGTGGTCAGATTTTCAGTGCTGAAATTGAAGGTATTGTTAGGGAGAGGGTGATCTCCAACTAATTTGCCAGATTGATCTTTACAGTAGAAAAAGAACTTATGGGATCCCTCAGGACTCTGTGATGCGACTCCCTCAGGGAGGGAGCAATTTAAGGGAATCTCTTCTCCTTTAATAATAAAGCTGTATGGAAGAGACGAGGATAGCGTGGGGGCTGATTGAGTTGAATCTGTCTGTGAACCTGAGGAAAGAAAGAGAAGACATTGAGACTTTTCTTCTGATGTCCTCCTGGAACCAAATCTCTAGACCAGAACATCCACCGAATTTCCAGAATGGCTCCCATCCATAATCTACTCTGAGATTCTTTGATCCACTGCTTCCTCTTACAAGGACAGGAGTTGGACAAAAAGGGACTGACACTGCAAATAACCCACAATACTCAGCTTCGTTTTATACTGCTTTACATATACTTTGCTATATACTGCTTTGGTAAGGCCACACTTGGAATCCTGTATCCAGTTTTGGTCCCCACGGTAGAAAAAAGATGTTGAGACTCTAGAAAGAGTGCAGAGAAGAGCAACAAAGATGATCAGGGGACTGGAGGCTAAAATATATAAGGAATGGTTGGTGGAATTGGGCATGTCTAGTTTAATCAAGAGAAGGACGAGGGGGGACAGGATAGCAGTCTTCCAGTATCTCAGGGGCTGCCCCAAAGAAGAGGGAGTCAAGCTATTCTCCAAAGCACCTGAAGGCAGGACAACAAGCAACGGATGGAAACTAGCCAAAGAGAGAAGCAACCTGGAATTAAGGAGAAATTTTCCTAACAGTTAGACCAATTAAGCAGTAGAACCACCTGCCTCCAGAAGTTGTGAATGCTCCAACACTAGAAGTTTTCAAGAAGAGATTAGACAACCATTTGTAGGGTTTCCTGCCTGAGCAGGGGGTTGGACTAGAAGCACTCCGAGGTCCCGTCCAGCTCTGTTATTCAGTTTATTCTGTTTCTCGGGTGATCGGTTAGTGAGGGCTCATTTATCGTGTTATTTTCAATTCTGAAACCTGAGCCTTGTGACAGTGAACTCTAGCAATAAGGGAACTTTCTTACCAACAATCAAGATCTCCCTGGAATTACTAGAAGGATAAGAGTAGAATTTTATTTCATTGAGGTATTTTGAACTGCAATTGCAAATAAGCTTCTTGGTTCCATTCAGATGTGCGATGCTGATATTCCATGTATTTTCTTGATGAGCTTTTTTCAGGATGGAAGAACCTGATTCATTTTTACAATGGAAAATGAAAAGAAGTGGCTGATATCTGTCTGGAACGGAACATATCAAGGTCATCCGCTCTCCTTGAGCAAAGACGCTGTATGGAGGAGACAAGAAGAGTCTCGTAGTTGCCAGAGATGAATCTATCCACGAACCTGTGAAAGAGATAAAAACCACATAGGCCTTCTTTTTTCATCCTCTCTTGTCAGCTAGATAAGGGGTAGATAAGGGTCAATAGCACTCAGGGGAGATTGGGCTGAGCTTTCTTGTGGCTACGTAGGGTTTCTAGGCTGATAACCTTTTTAACTCCCCTCCAGAGTCTGCCCTTCCTTCTCCTGCTTCTCCTACTCTCTGTCCTTCACAAGAAGCAACAATCAAAGTCTACATTTGTGTGGCCAGAGAAAAACTCTACACAAGTCTCGGTCTTACCTGCTCCCAGGTTCACCCACAAAAGAACTGAAAGAGAAAAGAAACGAAAGTGGCTTAAACAGAACACACAAACACACATACAAAAAAACCCCTCAAGATCTCTGTGCAAAACTGGCAGTTTCCATTTCTGTAATGGGGCTTCCTAGAATGTAGAAGAGACAAGACAAAGAAAAGCAAGAAAAGCAAAATGGAGGACTGAAGACGAAGGGCTTACGCCATGAGACCTTGAATACGGGACTAAAACCCAGTCTATTTAGAGGGAAAAGAAGATTGATTTTACATTTCATATAAACGGGACCCTTTTTAAAAGAAACATCCTGACTTCAGGACGGAGATAAAAAAATATCTTGATGTCCCATAGATTAAATTCACGTCAATTAAAGTGGTCACTTTGAGCCAAAGATGCTTTTTTTTTTAAGGAGGCAACTGGACTCTCTTGTTTTTCTTTGAAGACGTTTCGCTTCTCCTCCAAGAATGGTGCGAGAGGATGAATGGATTTCCAGAAAATATTGCAGACTACAGGAACCATTTGTGCTTTAGTTTCATGACCCAAACTAGACAACATCAGGACTAGCACAGATGATGGAGGAGGAGGAGGAGGAGGAGGAGGAGGAGGAAGAAAGGATGCAGGTGTATTGTCATCTTGGGCACAGGGAAAGAAGAATAATTAGTTTTAGAAGCGAGAGAGGAAGAAGAAGGAGGTCCCAAACCTATTATCCAAGTGATGGTCTCCATCTTCAGGTTTCCTGGGAAGGAGGTGTTGTTGGTATCCGTTGCTCTCTTCTTCCTTCCCCAGGGAGATGAAGAGCTGCAACTTCTCTCGAGTCAGTCCTCCAACTCAACGGCCAAGGGAGGAACTGCGTCATCCCCACCGAGGACATCACACCCACGCCCTCCCAGCCCAGGACGCAGCTCGGCCCCACGGCCTCCTTCACCACACCAAAGCCTTTCTCTCTGCAGCAGAGAACTTCCCCCGTCCTCCTGAGCTCTCTTGTGCCCAAAGAGAATGAAAAATAGAATAAAACAAATGAAATCAAATAAAAATAGCCATCCGGTGAGGTGGAGGTGTGAAAGCCAAGAAGCCACGTTGTTCTGCTCTTTTGCAAGGTTTGACACCCCACCCCACCTCTCTGTGTGTCTGACCTGATCAGCTGCGTTGCTCGTCCTCAGCCACGCATTTCCCGTAGCGGAGCCACAGACAGACAGAATAAAGCAAATGATCATCCGTTAACTAGAAAAAATTTAGTTCTGATACATAGCAGTTCCCCTAAAATACTTCTCAAAATCATGGCTTGTGTCTAAAATGCCAGAACTATTATCCTAATTGTTTTTTCAATTTGTAACATTTTATTAGATTATAAAGTAAAATACAAAAATACAAAAAGAAAGAGCAGGACATGGTGGGGAGGGACAAGGAAGAGAAAAGTAAGGGGAAGAAGGGAAAAAAGGAAAAAAGAGGCATTGACTTCCAATTTCTTCTATTGTCGTAAAATGAAGCATTAACAACAAACCTTCATTTTTTTATTTTTCCAAAGTGGAAAAGCCCAACAGTCATAAGTGTGGAAAACAGTCATAGGTCACCCTCAACCTCTTTTTTGTGGTATGCTGACCAGAATTGGCTGCAGTGTTCCAGGTGTGGTCTTACTAGGTCTTTACAAAGCAGTAATAGGACTTCTCGTGATCTTGATTCTATGCCTCTGTTTATACCACCCAGGATTTCAGAGACTTGACCAACAAAGACACATTTTGCTGCAATCATGGATGATTTTTCTGCCTTCCTTTGGATTGAAACACAATGTCACTATACAATATCCCCTCTTCTTCCCGTTGTGTAGGATGGTTCTTCCTTGTTGCTCCAGGAGGAGACGGAGCGAAGGAGTCCCGGAGGCAGCTGTAGGTGACCTCAGAGGCCTGGGGAAAGTGAGGGAATGAGAAGACATTGCTCAGTCTACCTGCAGGCGAGGAACCCATTGAGAACCTGGGAGTTCTCCATAATTTCACAGCATTTTTAGAAATAAATAACCTTGACCCATCTGTTACGGCCTAGAAAGATTGCCAGCCCATCAAGGAAAAGAAGGACTGTCCTTCCGCATCAGACGTGACCGATTCTGAGATGCTCCTGAGAAACCTACAGGGCCGATCCCCTAAAACTTTGCATCCAGTACTTGATTAGAGGAACCTTCAATGGCTTTTAAGATACTTAGTTTTTGAAATATTTCTTTTTGTTTGCTTCAAGGCCCTTCAATTTCTTGGCCAAGACATGATTTGTGGAACTGGAGGCCATGAAGAGAATTATTCTACTTCTCCATTTTTAAAGGAAAGATCTAGTACTTCAAAAACTCCTAAATACTGTTTTTGAAACCCAGCAGGCCAAGAAACGTAGAGCAGATGTTCAGAGAGATCAAGACAAATGGATTTATGGAAAGCATATTCTGCCTGAATGGAAGAATTAAAGTTCGGAAGCTCTAAATCCTTTCTGCTTCGTTCCTGTTTCATCATGAGAGTTGGGTAACTCCAGAGGACACCATCAATAGTGGGGATTAAAACTGGGTTTCCCTCCCCAATGTAAACAGACCTTCCCTGCAGACACTGATTAAGGTCACCCATGAATCCCAACAGTTACCTTGACAGGAGTGAGTGTAGCTGCAGTTGCTGCTTGGGGCTCCATCACTGCAAGATCATTTCCTTCCTCCTTCTTTTTTGGAAGCTGAGAGTGTTCCTGGGATGGTGACACTGCCAAGGCAGGAATGAAAATAAAAAGGAAGATGAAATTGCTTCTTTCTATCACCCTCGTGTATAGTGTTCTCCCTCTCACATCCAGGCCTGGCTCTCCTTTCCTACCTCCCCCGTAGGATCTCTCTGTCCACAGTTGGAACCACAAGGAGCAACCTCTGACTCCAGGTAAGGATCCCTTGAACCTCAATCACATCACTTACTGCTCTTTTTTTTTCCAGCAATAAAAGGCAAAGGGAACCAGCGGGATTAGAAGAAGCATCGCCATCCAGGAATATCTCCAAATAGGATCTGAATCTTGGGCCCAAACTGATTTGAGTAACAAACAAGAAGGAAGACTTAGTATTTCTTGTAGAACATCTTAACCTGCCCTGTTCTTCAAAGTTTAGATTCTGTTAAATCGACAAATGAAACAAACCCCCATTGTTTTTTTTATTTAGCTCGGTTACCAATTTTTCATGGACCTCCCCGTGGAGCTAGTTAACAATCCCAGAAAAGCCATTTACCTTTCTCCGGGACTTCCTTTGTCCTTCCTAGTCTGGCCTATCATGGTGGTCTCAAGATTTAACCACATCCAACATTCCCCTATCTGGCTCACCTGTCATGTTTATCCCCTGGCTCCAAGAAGACATGAGCCATCGGTTACTTCTCCTTTCTTCATAACGGCAAGCAAATTCCCCTCTGTGCTTGAACGACGCATGTAGGATTCTCAAAGAGGCACTTTGAACACGATCTGTGGGTTCACTGGAGGGTTCCAGAAGACCTTCTTCCCCGGAGGTGATCTCCATCCCATCCTTGTAGAAATGGAAGATCTTCTCTGCGTTGCCTTCTTCCACTGAGCAGAGGAAGACCAAAGGGTCACCTTCCTTCACCTTCTGGGACAACGGATCCACCTTCAGCAGCGGGGAAGGAAGTTCATCTGCAAGAAAAGTTCACAAGGAACATATTGTCTGCATTAAAGCAGGGGAGTCGTCAGAACCAAAATATTCCATTTTGGAGATATTTTTCCCATTGAAGGAAAGTCCTCCTGACTATTTTCTTAGAGGAGGTGTTATTTGTTTAATGGTGGGTCTGCTTGTTTGGTTCACTGGATTAATTTTTGAACTGTTTATTGTGCATTTTCATAGGTTGAGTATTAGAACTGCCTTTGATGTTAATATTTCCGGGCAATGAGGATCCATCTTACCAACAACTGAGAAGACCATCTGGTTACTTTCAAGAGAAGAAGACCATCCCCCAGATGATTCCCTGATCTTGCATTTACATATAATCTTCATTTGGTCAGGGGTCAGATATTCAGTCCTAGCATTGAAAGTATTGTTAGGGAGATTTTGATCATCAACTAGTTTGCCAGATTGATCTTTACAGTGGAAAAAGAACATATGGGATCCCTGTGACATGATTCCCTCAGGGAGGGAGCAATTCAAGGGAATATCTTCTCCTTTAATAATCAAGCTGTATGGAAGAGACGAGGACAGCGTGGGGGCTGATCGAGATGAATCTGTCTGTGAACCTGAGGAAAGAAAGAGAAGACATTGAGACTTTCCTTCTGATCTCCTGGAATCAAATCTCTACACCAGAACATTCACCTCGATTCCCAGAAGGGTTCCCATCCATAATCTACTCTGAGAATCCTTGACCCACTGCTTCCTCTTGGAAGGACAGGAGTTGGACAAAAAGGGACCGACGCTGCAAATGAGAGGTTCTCCTACCCTTCATGGCTTGGATGAAGGTCCGTCCCAGATTACATTCCTCCCCGATCTTTTAGGACTGTCTTCCTTTCTGCTCTCCTTGCTCTCTAGACCACAGGTCCCCACCTTTTCTGGGTTGGCAGCCTGGAGAGAAAGGGTGGAGCAAGCAGATTTCTGCGTGCATGCGCAAAAAGGGCTGCTAGTTCCTTCACGCATGTGCAAATGGGGCTAAAAGCAGCTGTGCGGTGGCACTAACACCCACGCACATGTGCAAATGGGGCCATCAGCGCCCATGTGACTGCTAGTACAAGTGGGAGGAGGAGTGTACGTGAATATGTGCACACACCGGTGAGCTATTCTCATGGCCTAGTGGCCAGCAGGCTACGGACCAGTAGTGGGTTGCAACAAACAGGTTGGGGACCCTTGTTGTAGACACCTCTCCATCTGATTGGCTCAAAGTCACCCAGCCAGTTGTCATGGTTAAGACAAGACTAGAACTCATTGTCTCCCACTTTCCAGCCTGATAACTTAACCACCATTCACTAGTAGAGAAGGGGATGAGGTTCCTTTGTGCATTTATGCTTTTCTTTGGGCATTATAGTATTTTGTGTCAGGCGCAAAACACCAGTTCACAAGTGAACATCCAATTAAGTTCATTTATTGCTAAAAGCCTGTGAATAGGAACCTTGTCAGCTAGATAGTCAACAGCACTCAAGGGAGATTGGGCTGAATTTGCTTGTGGCTACATAGGGATTGTAGGCTGATATCCTTTTTAATTCCCCCTCCAGATTCTGCCCTTCCTTCTTCTGCTTCTCCTACTCTCTCTCCTTCACAAGAAGCAACAATCACAGTCCACCTTTATATGCTCCAGAAAAACTACACAAGTATTGGTCTTACCTGCTCCCAGGTTCACCCACAAAAGAACTGAGAGAAAAGAAACGAAAGTGGCTTAAACAGAACACACAGACACACACAAAATACCCCCAAGATCTCTGTGAAAAATTGGCAGTTTCCATTTCCGTAATGGGGCTTCCCAGATTGTAGATGAGAGAAGCTGAAAAAAAAACAAGAAAAACAAAATGGAGGACTGAGGAGGAAGACCTTATGCCATGACACCTTGAATACGGGACTAAAAACCGGTATATTTTGAGGGAAAAGAAGATTGGTTTTACATTTCATATAAACGGGACCCTTTTTAAAAGAAACATCCTGACTTCAGGACGGAGATAAAAAAATATCTCGATGACCCATAGATTAAATTCACGTAAATTAAAGTGGTCACTTTGAGCCAAAGACTCAAACTGGACTCTCCTGTTTTTCTTTGAAGACGTTTCGCTTCTCCTCCAAGAATGGTGCGAGAGGATGAACAGATTTCCAGAAAATATTGCAGACTACAGGAACCATTTGTGCTTCAGTTTCATGACCCAAACGAGGTAACATCATCAGTGCATCAGGACTAGCACCAATGATGTTACCTGGTTTCAGTAATGAAACGCCTGCAAGAAAACCACCAAGCTCAGAGAGCAGCCAGGATCCCTCGTTTCCATCCTGAGCTGCAAATATTCTCCTTTATAGGTAGAATTCAGCTTGATATAACAGGAGACTGTTAGTGGTGAAAGGAAACCAGCCCCCCAAAGACACAACGGCTGGGAACCATCAAAGCTGACCAGCCAGAGCGTAGAACAACTCAAGGAAGCAGTGCAAGATCGGAAGAGGTGGAGAGACCTGGCCAACAGAATCACACAGAGTCAGACATAACCACATGCATATACATCTTGAACATTATTGTAAAAGAAAAACAAGAAAAACAAAATGGAGGACTGAGAGAGGAGAGACCTGGCCAACAGAATCACACAGAGCCACACACGACCAAATGCATACTTCATGAGCATCACTGGAACAGAAAGCAACAGAAATTTGTCATCAAGATAAATTTCCTTGCTTGCAAAAGGGCTGCACAATACTTTCCTATGTGACATTTTGTGACTTCTACCTAGGAGATTGATCCAAACAATAACTCTGAAGGAAGAAGGAAGTGCTGAATTTTTGAGATGGAAGAAGGAGAAGGAGAAGATCTTGAGCACAGGGAAAGAAGAATAATTAGATTTAGAAGCGAGGGAGGAAGAAGAAGGAGGTACCAAACCTGTTATCCAAGTGATGGTCTCCATCTTCAGGATTCCTGGGAAGGAGATGTTGTTGCTTCATTCTACGGCAATAGAGGAAATCGGAAGTCAATGCCTCTTTTTTTCTTTTTCCCTTCTTCCCCTTACTTTTCTCTTACTTGTCACTGCCCACCGTGTCCTGATCTTTGTTTTTGTATTTTTGTATTTTACTTTATAATCTAATAAAATTGAAAAAAACAACTAGGATAATCGTTCTGGCATTTTAGACACAAGCCACGATTTTCAGAAGTGTTTTAGGGGAACTGCTATGTATCAGAACTAAATTTTTTTCTAATTAACTGGTTATCATTTGCTATATTCTGTCTGTCTGTGGCTCCGCTACGGGAAATGCGTGGCCTAGGACGAGCAACGCAGCTGATCAGGTCAGACACCCAGAGAGGTGGGGTGGGGTGTCAGTCCTTGCAAAAGAGCAGAAGAACATGGCTTCTTGGCTTTCACACCTCCACCTCACCGGATGGCTATTTTTATTTGATTTCATTTGTTTTATTCTATTTTTCATTCTCTTTGGGCACAAGAGAGCTCAGGAGGACGGGGGAAGTTCTCTGCTGCAGAGAGAAAGGCTTTGGTGTGGTGAAGGAGGCCGGGGGGGGGGGGGCGAGCTGCGTCCTGGGCTGGGAGGGTGTGGGTGTGAGGTCCTCGGTGGGGATGACGCAGTTCCTCCCTTGGCCGTTGAGTTGGAGGACTGACTCGAGAGAAGTTGCAGGTCTTCATCTCTCTGGGGAAGGAAGAAGAGAGCGACGGAGACCAACAACACCTCCTTCCCAGGAATCCTGAAGATGGAGACCATCACTTGGATAACAGGTTTGGGACCTCCTTCTTCTTCCTCCCTCGCTTCTAAATCTAATTATTATAAAACTATTCTTCTTTCCCTGTGCCCAAGATCATGGTACACCTGCATCCTTTCCTCCTCTTCCTCCTCCTCCTCCTCCTCCTCCTCCTCCTCCTCCTCCTCCTCCTCCTCCTCCTTCATCATCTGTGCTAGTCCTGATGTTACCTAGTTTGGGTCATGAACCTGAAGCACAAATGGTTCCTGTAGTCTTCAATATTTTCTGGAAATCCGTTCATCCTCTCGCACCATTCTTGGAGGAGAAGTGAAACGTCTTCGAAGAAAAACAAGAGAGTCTAGTTGCCTCCTGAAAAAAAGCATCTTTGGCTCAAAGTGACCGCTTTAATTGACATGAATTTAATCTATGGGTCATCAAGATATTTTTTTATCTCCATCCTAAAGTCAGGATGTTTCTTTTAAAAAGGGTCCCGTTTATATGAAATATAAAATCAATCTTCTTTTCCCTCAAAATATACCAGTTTTTAATCCCATTTTCAAGGTCTCACTGCGTAAGGTTTTCCTCTTCAGTCCTCCATTTTGCTTTTCTTGCTTTTCTTCGGCTTCTCTCGTCTATATTCTGGGAAGCCCCATTACGGAAATGGAAACTGCCAGTTTTTCACAGAGATCTTGAGGTTTTGTGTGTGTGTGTGTGTTTGTGTGTGTGTATCTGTGTTCTGTTTAAGCCACTTTCCTTTCTTTTCTCTTCTAGTTCTTTGGTGGGTGAACCTGGGAGCAGGTAAGACTGATACTTGTGTAGTTTTTCTTTGACCACACAAAGGTAGACTGTGATTGTTGTTTCTTGTGAAGGAGAGAGAGAGTAGGAGAAGTAGGAGAAGGAAGGGCAGAATCTGGAGGGGGAGTTAAAAAGGCTATCAGCCTTGAAACTCTATGTAGCAACAAGCAAACTCAGCCCAATCTCCCTTGAGTGCTATTGATCCTTATCCAACCCTTATCTAACTGACAAGATTCCTATGCACAGGCTTTTAGCAATAAATCAACTGAATTGGACGTTCACCTGTGGACTAGTCTTTTGCGCCTGACACAAAATACTATAACGCCCAAAGAAAAACATAAATGCAAAAGGGAACTTTATCCCCTCATTTTCTTATCTTCTTTTTGCTTCAATGTGGGCAAAGTCCCATTGCCAGAGAGACAGTCTGGCCTAGTGGTTAAGGTATCAGGCTGGAAAGTGGGAGACAATGAGTTCTAGTCCATGAAAACTGGCTGAGTGACTTTGAGCCAATCAAATGGAGAGGTGTCTACAACAGGGGTCCCCAACCGGTGAGCCGCAGCACACTACTGGTCCGTAGCCTGCTGGCCATTGGGCTGTGAAGATAGCTGGCCGGTGTTTGCACATGTGCAAGCACACTCCCCCCTCACTGGTGCTAGCAGTCACATGGGCACTGGTGGCCCTATTTGCACATGTGGATGGTTTTGGCCCCACTGCACAGCCACTAGTAGCCCCATTTGCACATTTGTGCAGGCACTAGCAGCCCTTTTTGCGCATGCATGCACAAATTTCCTTGATCCTCCCTTTCCCTCTGGGCCACCAACCCGGAAAGGGTGGGGACCTGTGGTCTACAAAGCAAAGAGAACAGAAAGGAAGACAGTCCTAAAGATCAGGGAGGGATGAAATCTCGGATCCAAGCAATGAAGGGTAGGAGAACCCTTCATTTGCAGCATCGGTCCCTTTTTGTCCAACTCCTGTCCTTGTAAGAGGAAGCAGTGGGTCAAGGATTCTCAGAGTAGATTATGGATGGGAGCCATTCTGGAAATTGGGTGGATGTTCTGGTCTAGAGATTTGGTTCCAGGAGGAGATCAGAAGGAAAGTCTCAATGTCTTCCCTTTCTTTCCTCAGGTTCACAGACAGATTCATCTCGATCAGCCCCCAGGCTGTCCTCGTCTCTTCCATACAGCTTCATTATTAAAGGAGAAGAGATTCCCTTGAATTGCTCCCTCCCTGAGGGAGTCGCGTCACGGAGTCCTGAGGGATCCCATTGGTTCTTTTTCTACTGTACAGATCAACCCAAGCTAATAATTGATGATCAAAATCTCCCTAACAATACCTTCAATGCCAGGACTGAAAATCTGACCCCTTACCAAATAAAGATTATATGTAAATGCAGGATCAGGGAATCATCTGGGAGATGGTCTGATTACCCTGAAAGTAACCATCTGGTCTTCTCAGTTGTTGGTAAGATGGATTCTCATTGCCCGGAAATATTCACATCAAAGGCAGTTTTAATACTCAACCTATGGAAACGCACAATAAACCTTTCAAAAAATCAATCAAGTGAACCAAACAAGCAGACCCACCATTAAATAAATAACGCCTCCTCTAAGAAAATGGTCAGGAGGACTTTCTTTTAGTGGGAAAAATATCTCCCAAATGGAATATTGAGGTTGTGACGACTCCCCTGCTTTAATGGAGACATTAATATGTTCTTTGTGCACCTTTCTTGCAGGTGAACTTCCTTCTCCGCTGCTGAAGGTGGATCCATTGTCTCAGGTGGTGAAGGAAGGTGACCCTTTGTTCTTCCTCTGCTCAGTGGAAGGAGGCAACGCAGAGAAGATCTTCCATTTCTACAAGGATGGGATGGAGATCACCCCCAGGGAAGAAGGTCTTCTGGAACCCTCCAGTGAACCCACATATCGTGTTCAAAATGCCTCTTTGAGAATCCTACATGCGTCGTTCAATCACAGAGGGGAATTTGCTTGCAGTTATGAAGAAAGGAGAAGCAACCAATGGCTCATGTCTTCCTGGAGCCAGGGTTTAAACATCACAGGTCAGCCAGAGAGGGGAATGTTGGATGTGGTTAAATCTTGAGACCACCATGATAGGCTAGACGAGGAAGGACAAAGAAAGACCTGGAGAAAAGCAAATGGCTTTTCTGGGATTGTTAACCAGCTCCACAGGGAAGTCCATGAAAAATCGGGAACCGAGCTTGATAAAAAAGGTGGGGTGTTTCATTTGTCAATTTAACAGAATCTAAACTTTGAAGAATAGGGCAGGTTAAGATGTTCTGCAAGGAATACTAAATCATCCTTCTTCTTTGTTACTCAAACCAGTTTGGGCCCAAGATTCAGATCCTATTTGGAGATATTCCTGGATGGCGATGCTTCTTGTAATCCCGCTAGTTCCCTTTGCCTTTTATTGCTGGAAAAAAAAGAGCAGTAAGTGACATTAGTGGGGTTCAAGGGATCCTTACCTGGAGTCAGAGGTTGCTCCTTGTGGTTGCAACTGTGGACAGAGAGATCCTACAGGGAGGCAGGAAAGGAGAGCCAGGCCTGGAGGTGAGAGGGAGGAGAACGCAATGCACGAGGGTGATAGAGCCGAGGTGGCGCAGCAGTTAGAGTGCAGTACTACAGGCCACTTTAGCTGACTGTGTTCAGCAGGTCGGCAGTTCAAATCTCACTGGCTCAAGGTTCACTCAGCCTTTCATCCTTCCGAGGTAGGTAAAATGAGGACCCAGATTGTTGGAGGCAATGTATATATATAATATACATTGCTTATTGGTGTACATCGCTTAGAGAGTGCTTGCACTTAAAGCGATATATAAGTCTCATAAATAAATACAAAGAAGCAATTTCATCTTCCTTTTTATTTTCATTCCTGCCTTGGAAGCGTCACCATCCCAGGAACACTCCCAGCTTCCAAAAAAGAAGGAGGAAGGAAAAGATCTTGCAGTGATGGAGCCTCAAGCAGCAACAGCAGCTACACCCACACCTGTCAAGATAGCTGGTGGGATTCATGGGTGACCTTAATCAGTGTCTGCAGGGAAGGTCTGTTTACATTGGGGAGGGAAACCCAGTTTTATCCCCACTATTGATGGTGTCCTCTGGAGTCACCCAACTGTCATGATGAAACAGGAATGAAGCAGATGGGATTTAGAGCTTCCGAACTTTAATTCTTCCCTTCAGGCAAAATATGCTTTCCATAAATCCATTTATCTTGATCTCTCTGAACATCTGCTCTACGTTTCTTGGCCTGCTGGGTTTCAAAAACAGAATTTAGGAGTTTTTGAAGTACTAGGTCTTTCTTTCAAAAATGGGGAAGTAGAATAATTCTCTTGGTGGCCTTCAGTTTCACAAATCATGTATTGGCCAAGAAATTGAAGAGCCTTGAAGCCCACACAAACAGAAAGAAATATTTCGAAAACTAAGTATCTTAAAAGCCGTTGAAGGTTCCTCTAATCAAGTACTGGATGCAAAGTTTTAGGGGATGGGCCCTGTAGGTTTCTCAGGAGCATCTCAGAATCGGTCACGTCTGATGCGGAAGGACAGTCCTTCTTTTCCTTGATGGGCTGGCAATCTTTCTAGGCCGTAACAGATGGGTCAAGGTTATTTATTTCTAAAAATGCTGTGAAATTATGGAGAAATCCCAGGTTCTCGATGGGTTCCTCGCCTGCAGGCAGACTGAGCAATGTCTTCTCATTCCCTCACTTTCCCCAGGCCTCTGAGGTCACCTACAGCTGCCTCCGGGACGCCTTCGCTCCGTCTCCTCCTGGACTAACAAGGAAGAACCGTCCTACAAAACGGGAAGAAGAGGGGATATTGTATAGTGACATCGTGTTTCAACCCAAAGGAAGGCAGAAAAATCACCCCCTGATTGCAGCAAACTGTGTTTTTGTTGGTCAAGTCTCTTAAATCCTGGGTGGTATAAACAGAGGCATAGAATCAAGATCACGAGAAGTCCTATTACCGCTTTGTAAAGCCCTAGCAAGACCACACCTAGAATACTGCAGCCAATTCTGGTCACCATACTACAAAAAAGAGGTTAAGAGTGACCTATGACTGTTTTCCACACTTACGACCATTGGGTTTACCCCAGTTTGAAAAAGTAAAAAAATGAAGGTTCGTTGTTAATGCTTCATTCTATGGAAATAGAGGAAATCGGAAGTCAATGCCTCTTTTTTTCTTTTTCCCTTCTTCCCCTTACTTTTCTCTTCCTTGTCCCTCCCCACCGTGTCCTGATCTTTGTTTTCGAATTTTTGTATTTTACTTTATAATCTAATAAAATGTTACAAATTGAAAAAAACATTAGGATAATCGTTCTGGTGTTTTAGACACAAGCCACGATTTTCAGAAGTGTTTTAGGGGAACTGCTATGTATCAGAACTAATTTTTTTTCTAATTAACTGGTTATCATTTGCTTTATTCTGTCTGTCTGTGGCTCCGCTACGGGAAATGCGTGGCTGAGGACGAGCAACGCAGCTGATCAGGTGAGACAGACAGAGAGGTGGGGTGGGGTGTCAGACCTTGCAAAAGAGCAGAACAACATGGCTTCTTGGCTTTCACACCTCCACCTCACCGGATGGCTATTTTTATTTGATTTCATTGGTTTTATTCTATTTTTCATTCTCTTTGGGCACAAGAGAGCTCAGGAGGACGGGGGAAGTTCTCTGCTGCAGAGAGAAAGGCTTTGGTGTGGTGAAGGAGGCCGGGGGGCCGAGCTGCGTCCTGGGCTGGGAGGGCGTGGGTGTGATGTCCTCGGTGGGGATGACGCAGTTCCTCCCTTGGCGGTTGAGTTGGAGGACTGACTCGAGAGAAGTTGCAGCTCTTCATCTCTCTGGGGAAGGAAGAAGAGAGCGACGGAGACCAACAACATCTCCTTCCCAGGAATCCTGAAGATGGAGACCATCACTTGGATAACAGGTTTGGAACCTCCTTCTTCTTCCTCCCTCGCTTCTAAATTTAATTATTCTTCTTTCCCTGGGCCCAAGATTGTCATCTTCTTCTTCTTCTTCTTCTTCTTCTTCTTCTTCTTCTTCTTCTTCTTCTTCTTCTTCTTCTTCTTCTTCTTCTTCTTCTTCTTCTTCTTCTTCTTCTTCTTCTTCTTCTTCTTCTTCTTCTTCTTCTTCTTCTTCTTCTTCTTCTTCTTCTTCTTCTTCTTCTTCTTCTTCTTCTTCTTCTTCTTCTTCTTCTTCTTCTCCTTCTCCTTCTCCTTCTCCTTCTCCTTCTCCTTCTCCTTCTCCTCCTTCTTCTTTTTCTTCCATCTCAAAAATTCAGCACTTCTTTCTTCCTTCAGAGTTATTGTTTGGATCAATATCCTCCTACCTAGGTAGAAGTCACAAAATGTCACATAGGAAAGTATTGTGAAGTGCAGCCCTTTTGCAAGGAAGGAAATTTATCTTGACGACAAACGTCTGTCGCTTTCTGTTACAATGATGCTCAAGATGTATACGCATGTGCTTGTGTCTGACTCTGTGTGATTCTGTTGGCCAGATCTCTCCACCTCTTCCCTTCTTGCACTTCTTCCTTGAGTTGGTCTACGCTCTGGCTGGTCAGCTTTGATGGTGCCAACCGTTGTGTCTTTGGGGGGGCTGGTTTCCTTTCACCACTAACAGTCTCCTGTTATATCAAGCTGAATTCTACCTATAAAAGAGAATATTTACAGCTCAGAATGGAAACGAGGGATCCTGGCTGCTCTCTGAGCTTGGTGGTTTTCTTGCAGGCGTTTCATTACTGAAACAAGGTAACATCATCTGTGATAATCCTGATGCAGTGATGATGTTACCTCATTTGGGTCATGAAACTGAAGCACAAATGGTTCCTGTAGTCCGTAATATTTTCTGAAAATCCATTCATCCTCTCGCACCATTCTTGGAGGAGAAGCAAAACGTCTTCAAAGAAAAACAAGAGAGTCCAGTTACCTCCTGGAAAAAAAAGCACCTTTGGCTCAAAGAGACTGCTTTAATTCATGTGAATTTAATCTATCAGTCATCAAGATATTTTTTTATCTCCATCCTGAAGTCAGGATGTTTCTTTTAAAAAGGGTCCCGTTTATATGAAATGTAAAATCAATCTTCTTTTCCCTCAAAATATAGCGGTTTTTAGTCCCGTTTTCAAGATCTCACGATATAAGGCCTTCCTCCTCAGTCCTCCATTTTGCTTTTCTTGCTTTTCCTCAGCTTGTCTCATTTACAATCATTCCGGTTTTGCACAGATCTTGAGGGTTTTTTTTTTGTGTGAGTGTGTGTCTGTGTGTTCTGTTTAAGCTACTTTCATTTCTTTTCTCTTCCAGTTCTTTTGTGGGTGAACCTGGGAGAAGGTAAGACTGATACTTGTGTAGTTTTTCTGTGACCACACAAAGGTAGACTGTGATTGCTGCTTCTTGTGAAGGAGAGAGAGTAGGAGAAGTAGGAGAAGGAAGGGCAGAATCTGGAGGGGGAGTTAAAAAGGTTATCAGCCTAGAAACCCTACGTAGCCACAAGCAAACTCAGCCCAATCCCCTTGAATGCTATTGACCCTTATCCAACCCTTATCTAGCTGACAAGATTCCTATGCACAAGCTTTTAGCAATAAATGAACTGAACTGGACGTTCACCTGTAGATTAGTCTTTTGCGCCTGACACAAAATACTATAACGCCCAAAGAAAAACATAAATGAAAAAGGGAACCTTATCCCCTCATTTTCTTATCTTCTTTTTGCTTCGATGTGGGCAAAGTCCCATTGCCAGAGAGCCAGTCTGGCCTAGTGGTTAAGGTATCAGGCTGGAAAGTGGGAGACAATGAGTTCTAGTCCATGAAAACTGGCTGAGTGACTTTGTGACAATCAAATGGAGAGGTGTCTACAACAGGGGTCCCCAACCTGTGAGCCGCAGCACACTACTGGTCCGTAGCCTACAGGCCACCCGGCTGTGAGGGTAGCTGGCCGGTGTTTGCACATGTTCAAGTACACCCCCCCCGATGGTGCTAGCAGTCACATGGCTACTGGGGCCCCATTTGCACAGATGCGTGGGTGTTAGTGCCGCCGCACAGCCGCTAGTAGCCGCATTTGCACATTCGTGCAGACACTAGCAGCCCTTTTTGCACAAGCACGCACAATTTTCCTTGTTCCTCCCTTTCCCTCTGGGCCACCAACTCGGAAAGGGTGGGGACCTGTGGTCTACAAAGCAAAGAGAGCAGAAAGGAAGACAGTCCTAAAAGATCAGGGAGGGATGAAATCTCAGATGGACCTTCATCCAAGCCATGAAGGGTAGGAGAACCTTTCATTTGCTGTGTCGGTCCCTTTTTGTCCAACTCCTGTCCTTGTAAGAGGAAGCAGTGGGTCAAGGATTCTCAGAGTAGATTATGGATGGGAGCCATTCTGGAAATTGGGTGGATGTTCTTTTTTAGAGATTTGGTTCCAGGAGGAGATCAGAAGGAAAGTCTCAATGTCTTCTCTTTGTTTCCTCAGGTTCACAGACAGATTCATCTCGATCAGCCCCCAGGCTGTCCTCGTCTCTTCCATACAGCTTTATTATTAAAGGAGAAGAGATTCCCTTGAATTGCTTCTTCCCTGAGGGAGTCACGTCACGGAGTCCTGAGGGATCCCATATATTCTTATTCTACTGTAAAGATCAATATGGCGAATCAGTTGGAGATCACCCTCTCTCTAACAATACCTTCAATCTCAGGACTGAAAATCTGACTCCTTACCAGATAAAAATTATATGTAAATGCAAGATCAGGCAATCATCTAGGGGATGGTCTGATTACCCTGAAAGTAACCAGCTGGTCTTCTCAGTTGTTGGTAAGATGGATACTCATTGCCCAGAAATATTCACATCAAAGGCAGATTTAATACTCAACCTATGAAAATGCACAATAAACAGTTCAAAAATCAATCCAGTGAACCAAACAAGCAGACCCACCATTAAACAAATAACCCCTCCTCTAAGAAAATGGTCAGGAGGACTTTCCTTCAAGGGGAAAAATATCTCCCAAATGGAATATTTTGGTGGTGATGACTCCCCTGCTTTAATGGAGACAGTAATATGTTCCTTGTGAACCTTTCTTGCAGGTGAACTTCCTTCCCCGCTGCTGAAGGTGGATCCGTTGTCCCAGAAGGTGAAGGAAGGTGACCCTTTGGTCTTCCTCTGCTCAGTGGAAGGAGGCAACGCAGAGAAGATCTTCCATTTCTACAAGGATGGGATGGAGATCACCTCCCAGGAAGAAGGTCTTCTGGAACGCTCCAGTGAACCCACAAATCGTGTTCAAAATGCCTCTTTGAGAATCTTACATGCGTACATCAATCACAGAGGGGAATTTGCTTGCCGTTATGAAGAACGGAGAAGCAACCGATGGCTCATGTCTTCTTGGAGCCAGGGGATAAACATGACAGGTGAGCCCGTTAGGGGAATGTTGGCTGTGTTTAAATCTTGAGACCACCATGATAGGCTAGACGAGGAAGGACAAAGAAAGACCTGGAGAAAGGCAAATGGCTTTTGTGGGATTGTTAACTAGCTACACAGGGAAGTCCATGAAAAATCGGGAACTGAGCTTGATAAAAAAGGGGAGGTTGTTTCATTTGTTGATTTAACAGAATCTAAACTTTGAAGAATAGGGCAGGTTAAGATGTTCTGCAAGGAATACTAAATCACCCTTCTTCTTTGTTACTCAAACCAGTTTGGGCCCAAGATTCAGATCCTATTTGGAGATATTCCTGGATGGCGATGCTTCTTGTAATCCTGCTGGTTCCCTTTGCCTTTTATTGCTGGAAAAAAAAGAGCAGTAAGTGATGTGATTGAGGTTCAAGGGAGCCTTACCTGGAGTAAGAGGTTGCTCCTTGTGGTTGCAACCGTTGAATGAGAGATCCTACGGGGAGGCAGAAAAGGAGAGCCAGGCCTGGAGATGAGAGGGAGGAGAACGCAATACACGAGGGTGATAGAAAGAAGCAATTTCATCTTCCTTTTTATTTTCATTCCTGCCTTGGAAGCGTCACCATCCCAGGAACACTCTCAGCTACCAAAAAAGAAGGAGGAAGGAAATGATCTTGCAGTGATGGAGCCGCAAGCAGCAACTGCAGCTACACCCACACCTGTCAAGGTAGCTGGTGGGATTCATGGGTGACCTTAATCAGTGTTTGCAGGGAAGGTCTGTTTACGTTGTGGAGGGAAACCCAGTTTTAATCCCCACTATTGATGGTGTCCTCTGGAGTCACCCAAATGTCATGAGGAAACAGGAACGAAGCAGATGGGATTTAGAGCTTCCGAACTTTAATTCTTCCCTTCAGGCAAAATATGCTTTCCATAAATCCATTTATCTTGATCTCTCTGAACATCTGCTCTACGTTTCTTGGCCTGCTGGGTTTCAAAAACAGAATTTAGGAGTTTTTGAAGTACTAGGTCTTTCTTTCAAAAATGGGGAAGTAGAATAATTCTCTTGGTGGCCTTCAGTTTCACAAATCATGTATTGGCCAAGAAATTGAAGAGCCTTGAAGCCCACACAAACAGAAAGAAATATTTCGAAAACTAAGTATCTTAAAAGCCGTTGAAGGTTCCTCTAATCAAGTACTGGATGCAAAGTTTTAGGGGATGGGCCCTGTAGGTTTCTCAGGAGCATCTCAGAATCGGTCACGTCTGATGCGGAAGGACAGTCCTTCTTTTCCTTGATGGGCTGGCAATCTTTCTAGGCCGTAACAGATGGGTCAAGGTTATTTATTTCTAAAAATGCTGTGAAATTATGGAGAAATCCCAGGTTCTCGATGGGTTCCTTGCCTGCAGGCAGACTGAGCAATGTCTTCTCATTCCCTCACTTTCCCCAGGCCTCTGAGGTCACCTACAGCTGCCTCCGGGACGCCTTCGCTCCGTCTCCTCCTGGACCAACAAGGAAGAACCGTCCTACACAACGGGAAGAAGAGGGGATATTGTATAGTGACATCGTGTTTCAACCGAAAGGAAGGCAGAAAAATCACCCCTGATTGCAGCAAAATGTGTTTTTGTTGGTCAAGTCTCTTAAATCCTGGGTGGTATAAACAGAGGCATAGAATCAAGATCACGAGAAGTCCTATTACCGCTTTGTAAAGCCCTAGTAAGACCACACCTAGAATACTGCAGCCAATTCTGCTACAAAAAAGAGGTTGAGGGTGACCTTTGACTGTTTTCCACACTTACGACCATTGGGTTTACCCCACTTTGGAAAAGTAAAAAAATGAAGGTTTGTTGTTAATACTTCATTCTACGGCAATAGAGGAAATTGGAAGTCAATGCCTCTTTTTTTCTTTTTTCCCTTCTCCCCCTTACTTTTCTCTTCCTTGTCCTTCCCCACCGTGTTGTCCTCATTGTTTTTGTATTTTTGTATTTTACTTTATAATCTAATAAAATGTTACAAATTGAAAAAACAATTAGGATAATCGTTCCGTCATTGTAGACACAAGCCACGATTTTCAGAAGTGTTTTAGGGGAACTGCAATGTATCAGAACTATTTTTTTTTCCCAATTAACGGATTTTCATTTGTTTTATTCTGTCTGTCTGTGGCTCCGCTTCGGGAAATGCGTGGCTGAGGACGAGCAACGCAGCTGATCAGGTGAGACAGACAGAGAGGTGGGGTGGGGTGTCAGACCTTGCAAAAGAGCAGAAGAACATGGCTTCTTGGCTTTCACACCTCCACCTCACCGGATGGCTATTTTTATTTGATTTCATTGTTTTTATTCTATTTTTCTTCCTCTTTGGGCACAAGAGAGCTCAGGAGGACGGGGGAAGTTCTCTGCTGCAGAGAGAAAGGCTTTGGTGTGGTGAAGGAGGCCGGGGGGCCGAGCTGCGTCCTGGGCTGGGAGGGCGTGGGTGTGATGTCCTCGGTGGGGATGATGCATTCCTCCCTTGGCCGTTGAGTTGGAGGACTGACTCGAGAGAAGTTGCAGCTCTTCATCTCTCTGGGGAAGGAAGAAGAGAGCGACGGAGACCAACAACGTCTCCTTCCCAGGAATCCTGAAGATGGAGACCATCACTTGGATAACAGGTTTGGGACCTCTTTCTTCTTCCTCTCTCGCTTCTAAATTTAATTATTCTTCTTTTCCTGTGCTCAAGATCTTCTTCTTCTTCTTCTTCTTCTTCTTCTTCTTCTTCTTCTTCTTCTTCTTCTTCTTCTTCTTCTTCTTCTTCTTCTTCTTCTTCTTCTTCTTCTTCTTCTTCTTCTTCTTCTTCTTCTTCTTCTTCTTCTTCTTCTTCTTCTTCTTCCTTCTTCTTCTTCTTCTTCTTCTTCTTCTTCTTCTTCTTCTTCTTCTTCTTCTTCTTCTTCTTCTTCTTCTTCTTCTTCTTCTTCTTCTATCTCAAAATTCACCAGTTCCTTCTTCCTTCAGAGTTATTGTTTGGATCAATGTCCTCCTAGCTACCAGTCACAAAATGTCACGTAGGAAAGTATTGTGAAGTGTCAGCCCTTTTGCAACAAGGAAATTTATCATGATGACAAATTTCTGTCACTTTCTGTTACAGTGATGTTCATGAGGTATGCATTTGGTCGTGTCTGGCTCTGTGTGATTCTGTTGGCCAGGTCTCTCCACCTCTTCCAATCTTGCACTGCTTCCTTGAGTTGTTCTGTGTTCTGGCTGGTCAGCTTTGATGGTGCCCAGCCATTGTTTCTTTGGGGGGCTGGTCTCCTTTTACCACTAACAGCCTCCTGTTATATCAAGCTGAATTCTATCTATAAAGGAGAATATTTGCAGCTGAGGATGGAAACGAGGGATCCTGGCTGCTCTCTGAGCTTGGTGGTTTTCTTGCAGGCGTTTCATAACCGAAACAAGGTAACATCATTGGCGCTAGTCCTGATGCAGTGATGATGTTACCTAGTTTGGGTCATGAAACTGAAGCACAAATGGTTCCTGTAGTCTGTAATATTTTCTGAAAATGCATTCATCCTCTCGTACCATTCTTGAAGGAGAAGCAAAACGTCTTCAAAGAAAAACAAGAGAGTCCAGTTGCCTCCTGAAAAAAAAAGCATATTTGGCTCAAAGAGACCGATTTAATTTACATGAATTTAATCTATGGGTCATCAAGATATTTTTTTATCTCTGTCCTGAAGTCAGGATATTTCTTTTAAAAATGGTCCCGTTTATATGAAATGTAAAATCAATCTTCTTTTCCCTCAAAATATACCGGTTTTTAGTCCCGTATTCAAGGTCTCACAGCGTAAGGCCTTCCTCCTCAGTCCTCCATTTTGTTTTTCTTACTTTTCTTCAGCTTGTCTCATCTACATTCTGGGAAGCCCCATTACGGAAATGGAAACTGCCAGTTTTGCACAGAGATAATAATAATAATAATAATAGTAATAATAATAATAAGGTTTTGAGGTGTTTCTTTTTGTATGTGTGTTTGTGTGTTCTGTTTAAGCCACTTTCGTTTCTTTTCTCTTTTAGTTCTTTTGTGGGTGAACCTGGGAGCAGGTAAGACTGATACTTATGGAGAGTTTCTCTGTGGCCAAACAAAGATGGACTGTGAAGGAGAGAGAGTAGGAGAAGTAGGAGAAGGAAGGGCAGAATCTGGAGGGGGAGTTAAAAAGGTTATCAGCCTAGAAACCCTACATAGCCACAAGCAAACTCAGCCCAATCTCCCTTGAGTGCTATTGACCCTTATCCAACCCTTATCTAGCTGACAAGATTCCTATGCACAATCTTTTAGCAATAAATGAACTGAATTGGACGTTCACCTGTGGACTAGTCTTTTGCACCTGACACAATATACTATAATGTCCAAAGAAAAAAATAAATGCAAAAGGGAACCTTATCCCCTCATTTTCTTATTTTCTTTTTGCTTTGATGTGGGCAAAGTCCCATTGCCAGAGAGACAGTCTGGCCTAGTGGTTAAGGTATCAGGCTGGAAAGTGGGAGACAATGAGTTCTAGTCCATGAAAACTGGCTGAGTGACTTTGAGCCAATCAAATGGAGAGGTGTCTACAACAGAGGTCCCCAACCTGTGAGCTGAAGCACACTACTGGTCCGTAGCCTGCTGGCCACCCGGCTGTGAGGATAGCTGGCCGGTGTTTGCACATGTGCAAGCACACTCCCCCACACACTGGTGCTAGCAGTCACACGGGCACTGGTGGCCCCATTTGCACATGTGCGTGGGTGTTAGCGCCGCCGCACAGCTGCTAGTAGCCCCATTTGCACATTTGTGCAGGCACTAGCAGCCCTTTTTGCACATCACTCACAAATTTCTTTGCTCCACCCTTTCCCTCTGGTCCACCAACTCGGAAAGGGTGGGGACCTGTGGTCTACAAAGCAAAGAGAGCAGAAAGGAAGACAGTCTTAAAAGATCAGGGAGGGATGAAATCTCAGATGGACCGTCATCCAAGCCATGAAGGGTAGGAGAATCTTTCATTTGCAGCGTCGGTCCCTTTTTGTCCAACTCCTGTCCTTATAAGAGGAAGCAGTGGGTCAAGGATTCTCAGAGTAGATTATGGATGGGAGCCATTCTGGGAATGAGGGTAGATGTTCTAATCTAGAGATTTGGTTCCAGGAGGAGATCAGAAGGAAAGTCTCAATGTCTTCTCTTTCTTTCCTCAGGTTCACAGACAGATTCATCTCGATCAGCCCCCAGGCTGTCCTCGTCTCTTCCATACAGCTTTATTATTAAAGGAGAAGAGATTCCCTTGAATTGCTCCCTCCCCGAGGGAGTCGCGTCACGGAATCCTGAGGGATCCCATAAGTACTTATTTGAGTGTAAAGATCAATCTGGCAAATTAGTTGGATTTCAACATCTCCCTAACAATACCTTCAATGTCAGGACTGAAAATCTTACCCCTTACCAAATAAAGATTATATGTAAATGCAAGATCAAGCAATAATTTGGGAAATGGTCTTCTTCTCCTGAAAGTAACCAGCTGGTCTTCTCAGTTGTTGGTAAGATGGATCCTTGTTGCCCATAAATATTCACATCAAAGGCACTTCTAATACTCAACCTATGAAAACGCACAATAAAGCTTTCAAAAATTAATCCAGTGAACCGAACAAGCAGAGCCACCATTATACAAATAACGCCTCCCCTAAGAAAATGGTCAGGAGGACTTTCCTTCAAGGGAAAAAATATCTATCAAATGGAATATTTTGGTTGTGACGACTCCCCTGCTTTAATGGAGACATTAATATGTTCTTTATGAACCTTTCTTGCAGGTGAACTTCCTTCCCCGCTGCTGAAAGTGGATCCGTTGTCCTTGAAGGTGAAGGAAGGTGACCCTGTGGTCTTCCTCTGCTCAGTGAAAAGAGGCAACGCAGAGAAGATCTTCCATTTCTACAAGGATGGAATGGAGATCACCCCCAGGGAAGAAGGTCTTCTGGAACCCTCCAGTGAACCCACATATCGTGTTCAAAATGCCTCTTTGAAAATCTTACATGCGTACATCAATCACAGAGGGGAATTTGCTTGCAGTTATGAAGAACGAAGAAGCAACCGATGGCTCATGTCTTCTTGGAGCCGGGGGATAAACATGACAGGTGAGCCAGTTAGGGGAATGATGGATGTGGTTAAATCGTGAGACCACCAGGATAGGCTAGACGAGGAAGGACAAAGAAAGACCTGGAGAAAGGCAATTGGCTTTTGTGGGATTGTTAAATAGCTCCACAGGGAAGTCCATGAAAAATCGGGAACCGAGCTTGATAAAAAAAAAAACGGTGTGTGTGTGTGTTTCATCTGTCGATTCAACAGAATCTAAACTTTGAAGAACAGGGCAGGTTAAGATGTTCTGCAAGAAATACTAAGTCATCCTTCTTGTTTGTTACTCAAACCAGTTTGGGCCCAATATTCAGATCCTCTTTGGAGATATTCCTGGATGGCGATGCTTCTTGTAATCCCGCTGGTTCCCTTTGCCTTTTATTGCTGGAAAAAAAAGAGCAGTAAGTGACATGATTGAGGTTCAAGGGATCCTTACCTGGAGTCAGAGGTTGTTCCTTGTGGTTGCAACCGTTGAATGAGAGATCCTACGGGAAGCAGGAAAGGAGAGCCAGGCCTGGAGGTGAGAGGGAGAAGAACGCAATACACGAGGGTGATAGAAAGAAGCAATTTCATCTTCCTTTTTACTTTCATTCCTGCCTTGGAAGTGTCACCATCCCAGGAACACTCTCAGCTTCCAAAAAAGAAGGAGGAAGGAAATGATCTTGCAGTGATGGAGCCTCAAGCAGCAACAGCAGCGACACTCACACCTGTCAAGGTAGCTGGTGGGATTCATGGGTGACCTTAATCAGTGTCTGCAGGGAAGGTCTGTTTACATTGTGGAGGGAAACCCAGTTTTATCCCCACTATTGATGGTGTCCTCTGGAGTCACTCAACTGTCATGATTAAACAGGAACAAAGCAGATAGGATTTAGAGCTTCTGAAGTTTAGTTCTTCCAGGCAGAATATACTTCCCATAAATCCATTTGTCTTGATCTTTCTGAACATCTGCTCTACGTTTCCTGGCCTGCTGGGTTTCAAAAACAGAATTTAGGAGTTTTTGAAGTACTAGATCTTTCCTTTAAAAATAGGGAAGTAGAATAATTCTTTTCATGGCCTCCAGTTTCACAAATCATGTGTTGGCCAAGAAATTGTAGGGCCTTGAAGTCCACACAAACAAAAAGAAATATTTCGAAAAGTAAGTATCTTAAAAGCCATTGAAGATTCCTCTAATAACGTACTGGATGCAAAGTTTTAGGGGATCGGCCCTGTAGGTTTCTCAAGAGCATCTCAGAATCGGTCACGTCTGATGCGGAAGGACAGTCCTTCTTTTGCTTGATGGGCTGGCAATCTTTCTACGCCGTAACAGACGGGTCAAGGTTATTTATTTCTAAAAATGCTGTGAAATGATGGAGAACTCCCATGTTCTCAATGGGTTCCTCGCCTGCAGGCAGACTGAGCAATGTCTTCTCATTTCCTCACTTTCCCCAGGCCTCTGAGGTCACCTACAGCTGCCTCCGGGACTCCTTCATTCCGTCTCCTCCTCGACCAACAAGGAAGAACTGTCCTACACAACAGGAAGAAGAGGGGATATTGTATAGTGACATTGTATTTCAACCCAAAGGAAGGCAGAAAAATCACCCCTGATTGCAGCAAAATGTGTCTTTGTTGGTAAAGTCTCTTAAATCCTGGGTGGTATAAACAGAGGCATAGAATCAAGATCACGAGAAGTCCTATTACCGCTTTGTAAAGCCCTAGTAAGACCACACCTAGAATACTGCAGCCAATTCTGGTCACCATACCCAAAAAAGAGGTTGAGGGTGACCTATGACTGTTTTCCACACTTACGACTGTTGGGTATACCCCACTTTGGAAAAGTAAAAAAATGAAAGTTCGTTGTTAATGCTTCATTCTACGGCAATAGAGGAAATTGGAAGTCAATGCCTCTTTTTTTCTTTTTCCCTTCTCCCCCTTACTTTTCCCTTCCTTGTCCCTCTCTACCATGTCCTGCTCTTTGTTTTTGTATTTTTGTATTTTATTTTATAATCTAATAAAATGTTACAAATTGAAAAAACAATTAGAATAATAGTTCTGGCATTTTAGACACAAGCCATGATTTTGAGAAGTGTTTTTGGGGAACTACTATGTATCAGAACTAAATTTTTTTCTAATTAACGGATTTTCATTTGCTTTATTCTGTCTGTCTGTGGCTCCACTACGGGAAATGCGTGGCTGAAGACGAGCAACGCAGCTGATCAGGTCAGACACCCAGAGAGGAGGGGTGGGGTGTCAGACCTTGCAAAAGAGCAGAACAACATGGCTTCTTGGCTTTCACACCTCCACCTCACCGGATGGCTATTTTTATTTGATTTCATTGGTTTTATTCTATTTTTCATTCTCTTTGGGCACAAGAGAGCTCAGGAGGACGGGGGAAGTTCTCTGCTGCAGAGAGAAAGGCTTTGGTGTGGTGAAGGAGGCCGGGGGGCCGAGCTGCGTCCTGGGCTGGGAGGGCGTGGGTGTGATGTCCTCGGTGGGGATGACGCAGTTCCTCTCTTGGCCGTTGAGTTGGAGGACTGCCTCGAGAGAAGTTGCAGCTCTTTATCTCTCTGGGGAAGGAAGAAGAGAGCGACGGAGCTCAACAACACCTCCTTCCCAGGAATCCTGAAGATGGAGACCATCACTTGGATAACAGGTTTGGGACCTCCTTCTTCTTCCTCCCTCGCTTCTAAATCTAATGATTCTTCTTTCCCTGTGCCCAAGATGATCTTCTTCTTCTTCTTCTTCTTCTTCTTCTTCTTCTTCTTCTTCTTCTTCTTCTTCTTCTTCTTCTTCTTCTTCTTCTTCTTCTTCTTCTTCTTCTTCTTCTTCTTCTTCTTCTTCTTCTTCTTCTTCTTCTTCTTCTTCTTCCTCTTCCTCTTCTTCTTCCTCTTCTCTTTCTCCTTCTTTTTTTTCTTCTTCTTCTTCCATCTCAAAAATTCAGCACTTCCTTCTTCCTTCAGAGTTATTCTTTGGATCAATCTCCTCCTACGTAGAAGTCACAAAATATCACATAGGAAAGTATTGTGAAGTGCAGCCCTTTTGCAAGCAAGGAAATTTATCTTGACAACAAACTTCTGTTGCTTTCTGTTACAGTGATGTTCAAGATGTATATGCATATGGTTGTGTCTGACTCTGTGTGATTCTGTTGGCCAGGTCTCTCCACCTCTTTCCTTCTTGCACTGCTTCCTTTAGTTGTTCTGTGCTCTGGCTGGTCAGCTTTGATGGTGGCCAGCCATTGTGTCTTTTGGGGGCTGGTTTCCTTTCACCACTAACAGCCCCCTGTTATATCAAGCTGAATTCTACCTATAAAGGAGAATATTTGCAGCTCAGGATGGAAACGAGGGATCCTGGCTGCTCTCTGAGCTTGGTGGTTTTCTTGCAGGCATTTCATTACCAAAAGCAGGTAACATCATTGGCGCTAGTCCTGATGCAGTGATGATGTTACCTCGTTTGGGTCATGAAACTGAAGCACAAATGGTTCCTGTCGTCTGCAATATTTTCTGGAAATCCCTTCATCCTCTCGCACCATTCTTGGAGGAGAAGCAAAACGTCTTCAAAGAAAAACAAGAGAGTCTAGTTGCCTCCTGGAAAAAAAAGCACCTTTGGCTCAAAGTGACTGCTTTAATTCATGTGAATTTAATCTATGTGTCATCAAGATATTTTTTTATCTCCATCCTGAAGTCAGGATGTTTCTTTTAAAAAGGGTCCCGTTTATATGAAATGTAAAATCAATCTTCTTTTCCCTCAAAATATAGCGGTTTTTAGTCCAGTATTCAAGATCTCATGGCGTGAGGTCTTCCTCTTCAGTCCTCCATTTTGCTTTTCTTGTTTTTCTTCGGCTTCTCTCATCTACATTCTAGGAAGCCCCATTACGGAAATGGAAACTGCCAGTTTTGCACAGAGATTTTGAGGTTTTGTGTGTGTGTCTGTTTGTCTGTGTTCTTTTTAAGCCACTTTCATTTCTTTTCTTTTTCAGTTCTTTGGTGGGTGAACCTGGGAGCAGGTAAGGATACTTGTGTAGTTTTTCTGTGGTCACACAAAGGTACACTGTGATTGTTCCTTCTCGTGAAGGACAGAGAGTAGGAGAAGTAGGAGAAGGAAGGGCAGAATCTGGAATGGGAGTTAAAAACTTTATCAGCGTAGAATCCCTACATAGCCACAAGCAAATTCAGCCCAATCTCCCTTGAGTGCAATTGACCCTTATCCAACCTTTATCTAGCTGACAAGATTCCTATGCACAGGCTTTTAGCAATAAATGAACTGAATTGGATCTTCACCTGTGATGTGTGGTTTTTCACCTGACACAATATACTATAATGTCCAAAGAAAAACATAAATGCACAAAGGAGCCTCATCCCCTTCTCTACTAGTGGATAGTGGTTAAGGTATCAGGCTGGAAAGTGGGAGACAATGAGTTCTAATCCTGTTTTAGCCATGAAAACTGGCTGGGTGACTTTGAGCCACTCAAATGGAGAGGTGTCTACAACAGGCGTCCCCAACCTATTTGTTGCATCCCAGTACTGGTCCGTTCCCTTCTGGCCACAAGGCCCTGAGGATAGCTGGCCAGTGTGTCCATATTTGCATGCACACTCCCTCCCCCCACTTGTGCTAGCAGTCGCAGGGGCACTGGGGGCTCCATTTGCACATGTGCACTGGTATTAGTGCCGCTGCACAGCTCCTAGTAGCCCCATTTGCACATGTGTGCAGACAGTGGCAGCGTCTTTTGCGCATGTACGTGTAGAAACACACAAATTTCCTTCCTCCTTCCTTTCCTTCCGGGCTGCCAACCCAGAAAGAATGAGGACCTATGGTCTACAAAGCAAAGCGAGCATAAAGGAAGACAGTCCTGAAAGATCAGGGAGGGATGAAATCTCGGATGGATCTTCATCCAAGCCATGAAGGGTAGGAGAACCTTTCATTTGCAGCGTTGGTCCCTTTTTGTCCAAGTCCTGTCCTTGCAAGAGGAAGCAGTGGGTCAAGGATTCTCAGAGTAGATTATGGATGGGAGCCATTCTGGGAATCAGGGTGGATGTTCTAGTCTAGAGATTTCGTTCCAGGAGGAGCTCAGAAGGAAAGTCTCAATGTCTTCTCTTTTTTTCCTCAGGTTCACAGACAGATTCATCTCGATCAGCCCCCAGGCTGTCCTCGTCTCTTCCATACAGCTTTATTATTAAAGGAGAAGAGATTCCTTTGAATTGCTCCCTCTCTGAGGGAGTCACGTCACGAAGTCCTGAGGGATCCCATAAGTTCTTATTCAACTGTACAGATCAATCCGGCAATTTAGTTGATTTTCAACATATCCCTAACAATACCATCAGTGTCAGGACTGAAAATCTGAACTCTGACCAAATAAAGATTATATGTAATTGCAAGATCAGGCAATCAGCTGGGGGATGGTCGTCTTCTCCTAAAAGTAATCAGTTGGTCTTCTCAGTTGTTGGTAAGATGGATTCTCATTGCCCGGAAATATTCACATCAAAGGCAGTTCTAATACTCAACCTATGGAAATGCACAATAAACCTTTCAAAAAATCAATCCAGTGAACCAAACAAGCAGACCCACCATTAAATAAATAACGCCTCTTCTAAGAAAATGGTCAGGAGGACTTTCCTTCAATGGGAAAAATATCTCCCAAATGGAATATTTTGGTTGTGACGACTCCCCTGCTTTAATGGAGACATTAATATGTTCCTTGTGAACCTTTCTTGCAGGTGAACTTCCTTCTCCGCTGCTGAAGGTGGAACCGTTGTCCCAGAAGGTGAAGAAAGGTGACCCTTTGGTCTTCCTCTGCTCAGTGGAAGGAGGCAACGCAGAGAAGATCTTCTATTTCTACAAGGATGGGATGGAGATCAACCCCAGGGAAGAAGGTCTTCTGGAACACTCCAGTGAACCCACAGATCGTGTTCAAAGGGCCTCTTTGAGGATCCTACATGCGTCCATCAATCACAGAGGGGAATTTACTTGCCGTTATGAAGAAAGGAGAAGCAACCGATGGCTCATGTCTTCTTGGAGCCAGGGTTTAAACATCACAGGTGAGCCAGATAGGGGAATGTTGGATGTGGTTAAATCTTGAGACCACCATGATAGGCTAGACGAGGAAGGACGAAGAAAGACCTGGAGAAAGGCAAATGGCTTTTGCGGAATTTTTAACTAGCTCCACAGCGAAGTCCATGAAAAATTGGGAACCGAGCTTGATAAAAAGGGGGGGTGTTTCATTTGTCGATTTAACAGAATCTAAACTTTGAAGAATAGGGCAGGTGAAGATGTTCTGCAAGAAATACTAAGTCATCCTTCTTCTTTGTTATTCAAATCAGTTTGGGCCCAAGATTCAGATCCTATTTGGAGATATTCCTGGATGGCGATGCTTCTTGTAATCCTACTGGTTCCTTTTGCCTTTTATTGCTGGAAAAAAAAGAGCAGTAAGTGACATGATTGGAGTTCAAGGGATCCTTATCTGGAGTCAGATGTTGCTCCTTGTGGTTGCAACCGTTGAATGAGAGATCCTACAAGGGGCAGGAAAGGAGAGCCAGGCCTGGAGGTGAGAGGGAGGAGAACGCAATATACAAGGGTGATAGAAAGAAGCAATTTCATCTTCCTTTTTATTTTCATTCCTGCCTTGGAAGCACCACCATCCCAGGAACACTCTCAGCTTCCAAAAAAGAAGGAGGAAGGAAATGATCTTGCAGTGATGGAGCCTCAAGCAGCAACAGCAGCTACACTCACTCCTGTCAAGGTAGCTGGTGGGATTCATGGGTGACCTTAATCAGTGCCTGCAGGGAAAGTATGTTTACATTGGGGAGGGAAACCCAGTTTTATCCCCACTATTGATGGTGTCTTCTGGAGTCACCCAACTGTCATGATGAAACAGGAAGGAAGCAGATGGGATTTAGAACTTCTGAAGTTTAATTCTTCCCTTCAGGCAGAATATAATTTCCATGAATCCATTTGTCTTGATCTCTCTGAACATCTGCTCTACGTTACTTGGCCTGCTGGGTTTCAAAAACAGAATTTAGGAGTTTTTGAAGAACTAGGTCTTTCCTTTCAAAATGGGAAAGTAGAATAATTCTTTTCATGACCTCCAGTTTCACAAATCACGTGTTGGCCAAGAAATTGAAGGACCTTGAAGCTCACACAAACAGAAAGAAATATTTCGAAAACTAAGTTTCTTAAAAGCCATTGAAGATTCCTCTAATCAAGTACTGGATGCAAAGTTTTAGGGGATTTGCCCTGTAGGTTTCTCAGGAGCATCTCAGAATCGGTCATGTCTGATGCGGAAGGACAGTCCTTCTTTTCCTTGATGGGCTGGCAATCTTTCTAGGCTGTAACAGATGGGTCAAGGTTATTTATTTCTAAAAATGCTGCGAAATGATGGAGAACTTCCAGGTTCTCAATGGGTTCCTCACCTGCAGGTAGACTGAGCAATGTCTTCTCATTCTCTCACTTTCCCCAGGCCTCTGAGGTCACCTACAGCTGCCTCCGGGACTCCTTCGCTCCGTCTCCTCCTGGACTAACAAGGAAGAACCGTCCTACACAACCGGAAGAAGAGGGGATATTGTATAGTGACATTGTGTTTCAACACAAAGGAAGGCAGAAAAATCACCCCCTGATTGCAGCAAAATGTGTTTTTGTTGGTCAAGTCTCTTAAATCCTGGGTGGTATAAACAGAGGCATAGAATCAAGATCACGAGAAGTCCTATTACCTCTTTGTAAAGCCCTAGTAAGACCACACGTAGAATACTGCAGCCAATTCTGGTCACCATACCCAAAAAAGAGGTTGAGGGTGACCTATGACTGTTTTCCACACTTACAACCATTGGGTTTACCCCACTTTGGAAAAGTAAAAAAATGAAGGTTTGTTGTTAATGCTTCATTCTACAGCAATAGAGGAAATCGAAAGTCAATGCCTCTTTTTTTCTTTTTTCCCTTTTCCCCCGTAATTTTCTATTCCTTGTCCCTCCCCACCATGTCCTGCTCTTTGTTTTTGTATTTTTGTATTTTACTTTATAATCTAATAAAATGTTACAAATTGAAAAAACAACTAGGATAATCGTTCTGGCATTTTAGACACAAGCCAAGATTTTCAGAAATGTTTTAGGGGAACTGCTACGTATCAGAACTAATTTTTTTCTAATTAACTGGTTATCATTTGCTTTATTCTGTCTGCCTGTGGCTCCGCTACGGGAAATGCGTGGCTGAGGACGAGCAACGCAGCTGATCAGGTCAGACACACAGAGAGGAGGGGTGGGGTGTCAGACCTTGCAAAAGAGCGGAACAACATGGCTTCTTGGCTTTCACACCTCCACCTCACCGGATGGCTATTTTTATTTGATTTCATTGGTTTTCTTCTATTTTTCATTCTCTTTGGGCACAAGAGAGCTCAGGAGGACGAGGGAAGTTCTCTGCTGCAGAGAGAAAGGCTTTGGTGTGGTGAAGGAGGCCGGGGGGCCGATCTGCATCCAGGGCTGGGAGGGCGTGGGTGTGATGTCCTCGGTGGGGATGACGCAGTTCCTCCCTTGGCCGTTGAGTTGGAGGACTGCCTCGAGAGAAGTTGCAGCTCTTCATCTCTCTGGGGAAGGAAGAAGAGAGCGACGGAGACCAACAACATCTCCTTCTCAGGAATCCTGAAGATGGAGACCATCACTTGGATAACAGGTTTGGGACCTCCTTCTTCTTCCTCCCTCGCTTCTAAATCTAATTATTCTTCTTTCCCTGTTCCCAAGATGACGCTACACCTGCATCCTTTCCTCCTCCTCCTCCTCCTCCTCCTCCTCCTCCTCCTCCTCCTCCTCCTCCTCCTCCTCCTCCTCCTCCTCCTCCTCCTTCTTCTACCATCTCAAAAATTCAGCACTTCCTTCTTCCTTCAGACTTATTGTTTGGATCAATCTCCTCCTAGGTAGAAGTCACAAAATGTCACATAGGAAAGTATTGTGAAGTGCAGCCCTTTTGAAAGCAAGGAAAATTATCTTGACAACAAACTTCTCTCGCTTTCTGTTACAGTGATGTTCAAGATGTATATGCATATGGTTGTGACTGACTCTGTGTGATTCTGTTGGCCAGATCTCTCCACCTCTTCTGTTCTTGCACTGCTTCCTTTAGTTGTTCTACGCTCTGGCTGGTCAGCCTTCATGATGTCCAGCCATTGTGTCTTTGGGGGGCTGGTTACCTTTCACCACTAACAACCTCCTGTTATATCAAGCTGAATTCTACCTATAAAGGAGAATATTTGAAGTTCAGGATGGAAACGAGGGATCCTGGCTGCTATCGGAGCTTGGTGGTTTTTTTGAAGGCGTTTCATTACCGAAACAAGGTAACATCATCTATGATAGTCCTGATGCAGTGACGATGTTACCTAGTTTGGGTCATGAAATTGAAGCACAAATGGTTCCTTTAGTCTGCAATATTTTCTGGAAATCCCGTCATCCTCTCGCACCATTCTTGGAGGAGAAGCGAAACGTCTTTGAAGAAAAACAAGAGAGTCCAGTTGCCTCCTGAAAAAAAAAGAGATCGCTTTAATTTACATGAATTTAATCTATGGGTCATCAAGATACATTTTTATCTCCATCCTGAAGTCAGGATGTTTCTTTTAAAAAGGGTCCCGTTTATATGAAATATAAAATGAATCTTCTTTTCCCTCAAAATATACCGGTTTTTAATCCCGTTTTCAAGGTCTCACTGCGTAAGGTCTTCCTCTTCAGTCCTCCATTTTGCTTTTCTTGTTTTTCTTCGGCTTCTCTCATCTACATTCTGGGAAGCCCCATTTCGGAAATGGAAAGTGCCAGTTTTTCACAGAGATCTTGACGTGTGTGTAGACTGTGATTGTTGCTTCTTGTGAAGGAGAGAGAGTAGGAGAAGGAAGGGCAGAATCTGGAGGGGGAGTTAAAAAGATTATCAGCCTTGAAACCCTATGTAGCCACAAGGAAATTCAGCCCAATCTCCCTTGAGTGCTATTGACCCTTATCCAACCCTTATCTAGCTGACAAGATTCCTATGCACAGGCTTTTAGCAATAAATAAACTGAATTGGACGTTCACCTGTGGACTAGTCTTTTGCGCCTGACACAAAATACTATAACGCCCAAAGAAAAACATAAATGCAAAAGGGAACCTTATCCCCTCATTTTGTTATCTTCTTTTTGCTTCGATGTGGGCAAAGTCGCATTGCCTGAGAGCCAGTCTGGCCTAGTGGTTAAGGTATCAGGCTGGAAAGTGGGAGACAATGAGTTCTAGTCCATGAAAACTGGCTGAGTGACTTTGAGCCAATCAAATGGAGAGGTGTCTACAACAGGGATCCCCAACCTGTGAACCGCAGCACACTACTGGTCCGTAGCCTACTGGCCACTGGGCTGTGAGGGTAGCTGGCCGGTGTTTGCACATGTGCAAGCACACTTCCCCCCCAATGGTGCTAGCAGTCACACAGGCACTGGAGGCCCCCTTTGTACATGCGCGTGGGTGTTAGTGCAGCTGCACAGCTGCTAATAGCTGCATTTGCACATTCGTGCAGGCACTAGCAGCCCTTTTTGCACCTGCAGACACAAATTTCCTTGCTCCTCCCTTTCCCTCTGGGCCACCATCCCGGAAAGGGTGGGGACCTGTGGTCTACAAAGCAAAGAGAGCAGAAAGGAAGACAGTCCTAAAAGATCAGGGAGGGATGAAATCTCGGATGGACCTTCATCCAAGCCATGAAGGGTAGGAGAATCTTTCATTTGCAGCATTGGTCCCTTTTTGTCCAACTCCTGTCCTTGTAAGACAGTGGTTCTCAACCTGTGGGTCGGGACCCCATTTGGGGTCGAACGACCATTTCACGAGGGTCGCCAAGCAACGCTGTCCGCCATTTTTCCCCCCTTTTCTTTGGCCACGCCCCTAGCACCCGGTGATGTATAAGTGATTGGGGGTCACCACAACATGGGGAACTGTATTATGGGGTCGCAGCATTAGAAAGGTTGAGAACCACTGTTGTAAGAGGAAGCAGTGGGTCAAGGATTCTCAGAGTAGATTATGGATGGGAGCCATTCTGGAAATTGGGTGGATGTTCTGGTGTAGAGATTTGGTTCCAGGAGGAGATCAGAAGGAAAGTCTCCATGTCTTCTCTTTCTTTCCTCAGGTTCACAGACAGATTCATCTCGATCAGCCCCCAGGCTGTCCTCGTCTCTTCCATACAGCTTTATTATTAAAGGAGAAGAGATTCCCTTGAATTGCTCCCTCCCCGAGGGAGTCGCGTCATGGAGTCCTGAGGGATCCCATAATTTCTCATTCAACTGTAAAGATCAATCCGGCAAATTCGTTGATTTTCAACGTCTCCCTAACAATACCTTCAGTGTCAGGACTGAAAATCTGAACTCTGACCAAATAAAGATTATATGTAAATGCAAGATCAAGGAATCATCTGGGGGATGGTTTTCTTCTCCTGAAAGTAACCAGCTGGTCTTCTCAGTTGTTGGTAAGATGGATCCTAGTTGCACAGAAATATTCACATCAAAGGCAGTTTTAATATTCAACCTATGGAAATGCACAATAAACCTTTCAAAAAATCAATCCCGTGAATCAAACAAGCAGACCCACCATTAAATAAATAACGCCTCCTCTAAATGGTCGGGAGGACTTTCCTTCAATGGGAAAAATATCTCCCAAATGGAATATTTTGGTTGTGATGACTCCCATGCTTTTATGGAGACATTAATATGTTCCTGGTGAACTTTTCTTGCAGGTGAACTTCCTTCCCCGCTGCTGAAGGTGGATCCGTTGTCCCAGAAGGTGAAGGAAGGTGACCCTTTGTTCTTCCTCTGCTCAGTGGAAGGAAGCAATGCAGAGAAGATCTTCCATTTCTACAAGGATGGGATGGAGATCACCCCCAGGGAAGAAGGTCTTCTGGAACCCTCCAGTGAACCCACAGATAGTTTTCAAAGTGCCTCTTTGAGAATCCCACATGCGTCATTAAATCACAGAGGGGAATTTGCTTGCAGTTATGAAGAAAGGAGAAGCAACCGATGGTTCATGTCTTCTTGGAGCCAGGGGATAAACATGACAGGTGAGCCAGTTAGGGAAATGATGGATGTGGTTAAATCTTGAGACCATCTTGATAGGCTAGACTAGGATGGCCGAAGAAAGATCTAAAGAAAGGCAATTGGCTTCTGTGAGATTGCTAAGCTAATTCCACGAAGACGACCGTGAAAAGTTTAGAATTGAGACTAATATAAGAGGTGACGATTTCAATTTTAGATGATATAGGACCTAAACTTTCAAGAACAGGACAGGGTAAAAATATTCTGCCAAGTAACATAAAATCATCCTCCTTCTTTTCTAGTCATTCCAGTTTGGACCCAAGGTTTATATTCTGTTTGGAGATTTGCCCGGAGATGGATTCTTTTTCTAATTCTGCTGGTTCCAATTGCCTTTTATTGCTGGAAGCAAAAGAGCAGTAAGTGAAGGATTTGGGTTCGAGGGTTCCCTTATCAGAGGTTGCTCTTGTAGTTGGATATGTTGATTGAGAGATCCTCCGGGGAAGCAGGAAAGGAAAAGCAGAACTGGAAATGAGAGGGATGGGAAGATGATATGTAAGGATGGTGGAAAGTAGCTTCATGTTTTTTTTTCTTTTTATTGCTGCCATGGAAGCATCTCAATCACAGGAACAATTTCATCTAATGGAAAAGAAAGAGAAAAATCATCTTTCAGTGATGGAGCCTCAAGCAGCAACACCCTCATCAGTCAAGGTAGCTGGTGGAGTTCATGGGTGACTTTAATTAGT